ACTTATAATGAAGAAACATTATGACAACGTTTGAAACGTTTAACACAACCCCTCCTCTAAATGCATTTATGAAACGTGAGTGGGCCAATAAAGGCAACTAGTTTTAACTGTAACAAAAAAGCACTTCTGGGCACGTAAATGGGGTAAATGTGGTAAAATGTGGTAAAATCCACCACCCCATATCGCCTCTACCGGAAACCCGTTTTAACCCCCGAAGGACATTGGCAATTGAGCAGGATCGTTCATGTTTATCAAAACAGCCGGCAACTTTCTATCGCAGCGAAAGGTTGACTAGGACGAGAGTCATTGCTTTCACTGACTATGACAAACCTACTCGAACGGATTTTCACCTAGGAAGTTACCAAACGAATGTTGAAAAATACATCAGCACCATGAAAAAACCTTACCCACCATCCTCAGCAACGCCGCCTCCCGCCGGCGTCCACCGGAAAAGGGCGGCAAACGAGCGAAGTTTAAATGGTCAGAAGTGATTCCAGACAGCAACACCTGATTAGATAAAATGCACCTTCTCATATTGCCCCGGTACCCCGTTATGCCCCAGCTTCCCCTATTAGTTATAGGTCTGGCAACTATACTTTCATCCTCGTAAAGGAAGTAACCACAGCGAATCCGCACGACTAAATCATCAGGTCGCCAAAAACTCGGCAGTTACAGGAAATCTCGATCTTGTCCATTCCATGTCGTAGACTATATATTCCGTGGCCAAACTGTGTGCTTCACTTAACACAAAATAGATATAGAATAATCTGCATAGAATGTTCTTCGTCCAAGGAGACTGAACATGCCCTGAATATCGTTAAATCTGCACCAACTGGTGTCATTGTGTAGAGACGTTAGGTAGCCATATATCTTTGTTTGTTGTTCGCCAGGTGTTGGTGTGCTGGTCACTGACATCACATTCAAATGGGGCATTTAAATACCTTTCAGGAGCCCCTCTGAATCAAAGTTCTGCAAGTTTGTATTTGAAAATCTTGATCTCTGAATTTAAGCATTTATAGGCGATGTAAGTGCAAGCCAAGGACCCCATTTTGGATATTTCAACTCAAACTATTGATAAGGTCAAAGTAGGTATGGTCATCTAATACAGCTCACTTCAACCGCCTTGCTTCAACCCAAGATACCTATAAGAAAGCTTCAACCTACCTGTCGGCTTCCGCTTCAACCGCCCGTGCCAGGACGCCGGGGCACTCATGCCTGTCTTCCTCGGCTCCGATTCCCTCAACAACACCAAAGTACAAGTCAGGGTATATAGAATAACGTACAATTATCACCGAACCACTCACGCTCCTATTGCCTGGCACGCTCCAAAATGGCGGGAACGGGCGGGAACTGCAACGACGCCGCAGACAGCAAGGCCATCTATAAACCTCATTCAAAATCCCAATCACCGCACCACTATTTTGGTAATTTGTGACCCCTTCCGCTTCCGCTATACCGGTTCTAGTTTGGTATGCCAAACTACCAAAAGCAAAGGTTTTTTGGTAGCTAGCGCTACCAAAAAACTTTTCCCACTTGGTAGCCCTGCGGACCAAATAACTTCGAGGATGGGTTGCGTTTTCCTGGAGGTGCCCGGCATATGAGAGAGCCGGCCACAGAGGGTGCGGGCGCCAATTGGAGGCTAGATAAGCGCCAGCGGTCGGGTAAGCAAACACAGCCCGCCCGGCCTGGCGAGAACACTGCGCCGGGCGCCCCCAGTGCGTGAGTGGCACGCCACACGGCGGCCGCTCATGTTTTCGTTTTTTTTCTTCTTTCTTATTTTTCCTTTGTCTCCCTCCGTCAACTCCGGCGTCTTTCAGCTAGGGAGAGGTGGAACACACGCAATAGGAGCTGGCGGAGGTCGAGGCCGCACTACGCCAAATCCTCCCGGATACCGAGTTAAAGGTATTATCAGGGTTTTTTCCGAAATTTCGGAGTTACTCAGTGAAACGTGTAGATGAAGGTGGCTGAGGCCCCGATCCGAAGTCATTCGTCTCAAAATTGCCTAATTCCCAAATGGTGGGCCTCCAAAGTTGATCCGTCTGCCAGCCAGTACCTGGAGGAGGCAGTACCAAGTACTCGGATACATTTCCCTATAAGTCCATAGGCTTAACACTAGCTAGAGACTTCTAGAGATATTTTGTATGCCAGATAAGGCCGTCGCATACCAGATAAGGCCGCAATGGCCGTTCAACGTTACGTGGGGAAATTGGAGAAATCTAAAGACTTTTTTCTCTCTGACGTCTCCACTCCGCAACTGGCAAGCGTTGTTAGCATTGGCTCGTGTCGTCGTAAATAAGATTTGTTTGACGGATATTCCGTTAGTTGAGTGTGTTGTTGTAATTTCTGAGGCTGTATGAGTTGGACGGAATGGCGCCATCCCGCCAAGTGCGAAATCGGCGGTGTAGTGTGAAGGGTTGTGGAAAAACAAAGGCTGATTGTCATTTGTCCCGATCTCAACTTCTTCCATGTTCCGAAAAACCGTGTCAAGTAAGTCCAATTTGAAATGCTGGAGATTGCGGGGCAGGCACTAAGTGAAAAACAGTGGCATATTTTACGAAATTGTATTAATATATGTTTTTATGTCAAACATGCACAAATGTAATGATCAAATGTTTGAAGTGTTTGAAGTGTTTGAACACACAAATGTTTGAAGTGTTACTCATACATCAAACAGTAAGGTGTACGAGTAAATTGTGTGGATGAAGTCTGACTCATCTGAGTGGTCCGAGGAAAAAAAACAAGCGAACTTGACCTAAGTCCTAATATTACCTATTACCTAATAACCTACTAAACTACAGTCTCCCACGAACCTACAACGTACATGCTTCAGCTTACAACCTACAACCTACAACTCGGAGTTCATCTACACATATAACTAAAGTACCCAATGTACTATCTATGGTTACTGACTATCTGTGGTTCTGACTATCTGTGGTTACTTGTTATCTGTTACTTGTACTGGAATGGCAAGCCTTGCAATTTTCCCAGACCTTTGATCACAAAGTCATGCTGTTTTTAGGAGACTTGGTTGGGTGGCTGTCCTAGAAGATGGTTTGGCGGACAAGCAGGTTGACGAAGCACTTGTGTGTAGCTGCCACTTCAACCCTCAAGATCTTTTGCTTGGAGAAAGGGCTAGAACGTCACCACATGCCGTACCGTCAATAGCAGTCGTGGAAGGTGGGTTTGGCATTTCCTTTGTAATTGAACTGGTTTTTAGCACAACTTGTAAAAGTGGCACGAACATTGTTACATTGAACACTTGATGTGATGTAGAACCTGATAGCTGATGTTGAGTCTTGCAAATTGTATGAACAGCAGCTGGTGCATTGAGCCTGACAAGTGACGTTGGCACCCTAGTAGTCTCGTGTTTGAGTGTGGTCACCTAAAAAACTTGTGTGTAACCAACCATAAAGTTTTTAAATATAATTTTGGGATAATATTGATGTGGTGTGTTTTGGTCATATGGCTTGGATGGTGACTAACACTAATTAAGGAATGCTTCTTCACGACAATCTCCAGTCTCCTGAAGCACCATCATCTATATTTTCTTCCCAGGGATTCATCCCTGAATCACAATCATTACCTAGGCCAGATAACTTTGCTGGGCCACATGGTCAAAACAGTTGCAGCTACAGGGTAGGTATACCAGCTGTACATGTATTTGACAGACTAAACATTCTTTCTGTACATCTGGACAGGTAAACTTGATAGGCGGCCGGCGCGCGCCCATCGGCACCGGCGGCCGGCGCGCGACCATCCCATCGGCACCGGCGGCGGGCGCGCGCCCATCGGCACCGGCGGCCGGTGCGCGCCCATCCCATCGGCACCGGCGGCCGGCGCGCGACCATCCCATCGGCACCGGCGGCGAGCGCGCGCCCATCCCATCGGCACCGGCGGCCAGCGCGCGCCCATCGGGCACCGTCGGCCGGCGCGCGTCCATCGGCACCGGCGGCCAGCGCGCCCATCCCATCAGCACCGGCGGCGGGCGCGCGCCCATCGGCACCGGCGGCCGGCGCGCGACCATCCCATCGGCACCGGCGGCGAGCGCGCGCCCATCCCATCGGCACCGGCGGCGGGCGCGCGCACATCGGGCACCGTCGGCGCGCGCGCGTCCATCGGCACCGGCGGCCAGCGCGCCCATCCCATCGGCACCGGCGGCGGGCGCGCGCCCATCGGCACCGGCGGCCGGTGCGTGCCCATCCCATCGGCACCGGCGGCGGGCGCGCGCACATCGGCACCGGCGGCCAGCGCGTGCCCATCGGGCACCGGCGGCGGGCGCGCGTCCATCGGCAGCGGCGGCCGGCGCGCGCCCATTGCAGAGAGAGGTGATGTGATTGACCCTGTTGGCCCCCCCCCCTCCCCCACCCTCTGACCCGCCCGCGCGCCCCGACAGGTCGTCGTGTAGCGCGGCGCTCCGCCAGCTGCTGTGCTGAGGTTGGCGGCGCTCAGCAGCTACCAGCTGATGCAGCGCGCCGTGCTCGCTTGCCGCGGCGCAGTGTTTATAGCGCGTGCGCCGGGCGCTGACGGCAGTCGTCTGGCAGCGACAGCTCTGCCGGTGACGGCACACGCTGCTGCTGCAGAAACTGGACAAGGGCCTGCTTGGGCTCCTGGTCCTGGATCGGTACGCCGGCTCAGTCACCTGATGACGGCGGCGCACAGCGTGACCTACCCGCCCTACAGCCGGCCCAGCAGGGTGAGTAGTGAACTGAGTACTGAGTAGCGCTCAGAGTTAGCTTGAAGTTATTTAACATGATGCACTGTTCTTCATGAGTCGTCCCCATCGCTGCTTGTGACTTGCAAGTTCCTTCTTTTTCGGCAGTGCGTCCCAGCAGCGATTTTCACCTCTGAGAAGTATAGTTGCCGTACTAGTGAAAAAGTGTATATCTTTGAAATAAACATTCCGTTTCATCTGCCCACTACCACTAACGCCCCTCTGCCCTCTCCTGCAGCGGACGGGGAGACCCCCCTGACCGCTCCTTCCCCCTGTTCTGCTGCAGGCGGGGAGGCCCGCCCGGGCCCAGTGCCGCACGGAGAGGCGGTGGCGCTGGAGGCCAACACCCCGGCTCGCGACCTGTAGCTGACGGTGCTGGAGCCGCGAGTCACCGTGTTGGCTGGCCATGGAGACTTGGAAAAGGTGGGTCTCCGCGCAGCGGAGGAAGGGGCGGCGGCTGACAGTGGTGGCCGCCAACGGGGAGCTGGGCGGCGTGGGTCCATGCATAGCGGGGATGTTCGAAAGGACAGCATCAGCTGCATTGTTTGAAGAGCTGCTGCAGTTGGGCGTTGAGATATGATCGCAGACTTGCAAGGAGATGGGCTCCTGAGATGCGTGCTTTTTTTTGCTCCGATGATCCGGCTGATCGCTGTTCTATGAGGTCGTATTACCCGCCCGCGGTCACCAGGCCGGGGAGGTATATACGTCTACAGCAGCTGTGTTATTTGTCTGTCCCGGTTGTATCACCCAGTCTTCCCCCGTCCTCAGGCCGGTGAGGTGCGTCTCCAGCTGCGCTGTCAGCACGGCCGGCCCGTGCTGGCCGCGCCCCAGGCGGCCGACGCGCCGGCTCCCGGCGGCGGCGGCGAGCGGGCGGTACGGGCGCTGCTGCAGCTGCCGACAGCTGCCGCCGCCGCGGACAGCTGCCCGCTGCTGGTGGTCGTCTCCGAGCCGGCCCTGCTCTGCTGGCAGCCGGCACTGCTGCTCTGGCTGTCCCTGGCCACTCAGCTGGCCAGCAGCTGAGTGGCCCGGCGCCGCCGCCACTACCCCAGCCGCCCGAGCCGCCGCCGCCGCCGCCATGGATGTGCCCCGGCCGCAAGGACACTCGGGTACCTCGCGATCGGCACGGAGCCACACCACGGAGAGGAACCTACCCGCAGTGTCACCCAACACCTCCGCTGCGGCGGCCGTCTCCCCCACTCCGCCGGCGCCGCCCGCCGCTCCGACTTTGGCCTGGCTGCCGGCCCTGGAGCGTCTGGAGGTGCGCCTTCAGATCAGCGCGGTCACCGTCACCGTTCCGGCCGGTCCAGAGAGCGGCGGCGGGGCGGCCGGGGACGCGGAGCGGACGGCGGACCCGCTCCCGGCCGCGGCCGGCCACCACCCGGCGCCGGTACCGGGCCGGGTCCGCAGCAGCAGCGACTCGGGCCACCGGTACTGCCTGCACGGACAGCTGGTCTCTGTGCTGCCGTCAGTCCGACTGGACAGCGCTGCGCTCAAATCGGCCGCCCTGCCGACAGTGCCGGAGGTGCCCGTCCGACTCACCAGACCTTCAGCGGCCGCAGGTCAGTCGCGGCCGCCGCACGGCCAGCTCATACCGGCCACTGAGGAGGGCTTTTCCATAAAACTCTCAGTGCTAGTGATTTTGGCATTGGCATGGGGGCGGGTATTGGTACTCACTACTCACCCTGCTGGGGCCGGCTGTAGGGCGGGTAGGTCACGCTGTGCGCCGCCGTCAACAGGTGACTGAGCCGGTGTACCGATCCAGGACCTCAATTATGATTATAAGTAAAACGGGATGTAGGGATGAAGTCAGCTTGTGCTCAAGACTGACGTCATGACAATCGACACGTGAATATAACGGGCATGTTTGCTCCTTGCTGTCGTGCGGGCGTTCGAATCTCTCCCAGTTTGTTGGCCCGTGTCTCTCTCCCGTCCCCCGGGTCTCTCCGCCGGCTGACTCCGCTCTGTCTGTTCCAGCCGGCTCCCAGCTGCGCTCGCCGAGCCAGACGCAGCAGGTGATGTCGCCGTCGGTCGTGGTGCGCGACTGTGCGTCCATCCCGTGTCCAACGCCCCCCCCCACACCGCGCGCTGCTGCCGGGCCCGCCGTCGTAGTTTTATGGCCTTGCGCCGTCAGTCGCCAGCTGGTGGTGGCGACCCGTGATCGCTCGCGTACGTTCGCCGGCGCGCCCATTGCAGAGAAGGGGTTCGCGCATGCCCATTGTAGAGGGGCGCGCCCCTTGCGGAGGCGGTACGCGCTATGCTGTAGACAGTAATGCTTGTTGGGTAGCCCCTTTGCGCATTGTTTGTTCATGGATGTAAATACAAGTTACATGACTGATGAGTGTAATGCTTACATTTTTGAACTAAGAAATGCCACAGGGCAGGTTACCTTGGTGAGTTTCTGATATCAACATACTGAACATAAGAGCAGAATAATTATCCATAGAGCGTTAAGGATTTTAGCCACCGAATTCACCAGTCAGTAATTGCACATGGTGGCACCATGAGCATGAGTACCTCGCCTTGTCCGATCCTTTTCACAACTAGCAAGTAGAATGTGGGAAAAGGCAGGGAACTTCAAAGCATGCGCATATGTAGATAGCTGATGATTCTCTCTGTTCAAGCACGATCTGGCACTCTGCAGCCTGTTCTGTTCCACATGAGTTGCCGGGACAGCATCACACATGAATTTCTGCATGCTTCAAACAGAAATGCCTTAATTTTCCTTAAAATATATTCATTTTTCACACAAAGACAACCAAAATGTACATGCAGGTGGGTACTGTGGCAAGAAATTACATACAAATGTATTTTGCCATGTAGGTACCCTCCTTTCACATCACAATCATCAATCATAATTAAGAGCACCAAGACGTTCTTTGCGACTTGCGAGCCCAGCCGTGTCAGACCAGCTGATGCAGGGGCTCTGTCACAGGGGGCACAAGGCCCAGTGGTTATGTCACAGCACAATGTTGTACAACCTGCTATTCAAGAACACTTAAATCTTGAAAAACCTGTAGCTCTCTTGTCACCTCACTTTTCGCACTCTTGACAAATCACTAATCAGTCAGATCAAGACTGAAAATTGAAGAGGATAAGCTCTTTTGTGGGATGTACTTGCAGTTTCAATTCAATGACATAAATTACTCGAAATTACCATTTAAATTGTACTGTACAGTCTGTATTAAAAGTACCGCGCAAAGTGGCGGTGGATCCATCAAGCCTGACCGAGAAAGGGTCTGCTTTAATTTGAAAGTCACCGACCAATTGACCTAGGGAATGGACGAGGATGTCAATTGCTTCGGTGACCCAAATTTGGCAGGCCCTTCCTCAGTCAGGCTCGATGGATCCACCGTCACTTTGCGCGGTACTTTTAAGACAGACTGTACCATGACGAATCTACCATTGAAAGAAAATTGTATCATGACCCTGCTATAAAAAACTGAAACAAGCTCCAATTGCATATGATAAATTTGGCGATGTTTATAAATCTTGCTGCCTTAGACAAGCAAATCTTCAATTTGTTTCAATTTCAGTCGAGTTCTTCACCAAAAATCCATCGTATATCGACAACCAATGCCTATCACCGAAATCTTGTAGAAATCCTCAATCCCGCAAAATTTCGCAAGGCCGCTCTTTGTTTACATTATAGTGATGGGCCAATCTGACCGCTCAAGTACTTGTTTTGCGGGAGTAAGTACATTTTTGTCGTTTTTCAAACGGCTATAACTTGCAAAGTATAGCATCAATAGGCATTTTATGTATATCGTTGAAATCGGCAGAGTCTGGAGACTTAACTGATAGGCAATACATTCCGATTCCTTTCAATTTTTAAACCCTGATAATCCCTTTAAGAGACGGGCAGGTCCGGCCCCTCAGTTCAGGCTCATCACACCACACAGGCGCCAGCGACGCCAACGTTAACTACCGGGTGTGCGCGATTGCCTAGTGTCAACAAACGCACGGCAGATGTAAAGGGAGGGCCAGTTATTCAGCTGTTCTCAGAAAGAATCGTAAGTTAAAAACTGTAAGGTAGCTGCTGATTTGCAGCAATGAATTTTTCTACACTTTATCGTTTAACCCGCGCCCCGTTGGGCTCTGCCGAGCAACGCGCCCGGTTGGGGGGGGGGCCATTTTGGCCCCCCCCCCTAAGATCTCGAGAACCACGCAACATAGCGACAAGCGGTAAACGGCGTTGGATAGCCCCAACGGGGAACTACCTTGTGACCCAATTTTATTGACCTAGGTCAAACCGATGACGTCACAGGTCAGGTCAAAGGTCCAATTTTCACCGTTTACAGGCACTTCAAGAAATGCGTTGTAAAATCGAGTAAAATGCATTTCATTGAAAATCATCGATGGGGAAATGTTCTTCAAACACATATTTTGCTATTTGAGGTCACTGATACCAGGTCAGGTCACAGAGGTCAGGTCACGGGGGGGTCACAATATGAAAGTGTCGTGTGATACATGTTTTATGGTCCATTTTACATGACAAATGCGATTATATGGGTCAGGCAGCCTTTGGGGCCAGCTTAGATCACGTTTTGGTCAAGGTCAGGTCAAGGTCAGGTCAAGGTCAGGTCAAATTAGGTCAAATTTCAAAGTTAATATTTTTGCATAAAATGGGTATCGAATCGATGCAGCTCGTCACGGGGAGTTCAATGGTGGTCTTTGTTTTGCCGTACGAGGTCTAGAATTGCTAAAAATTGAGTTCAAAAATTTGACGTCATCATTTTTGAACAGTTTTTTCGCTATAACTTGGCCAAAAAACGAGATATCGATCTGAAATTTGGTATGCATATAGAAGAGCGCTGGGACTATCACATATATTCCGGTTTTTACGAAATTTGGAAAATTTTGGATTTTTTCAAAGTTTTTCTAAAAAAATCAATTTTTTGATTTTTTTTGGGTCAAAAACCAAAAATTTTGAAAATCCGAGATAGCAGTTTTGTAGCGCCGCTTTTTGTCTACTAGACCATATAAAGAACTTTGAAATTGCTTGATAACTGTAGATTTGGTGAGCGTTTAAAGTTTGCATGTTTTTTGCTCATTTTTGCTCGAACATGACCTCAGTTTGACCTCAATAACTCCTGACCTAAGGTGACCTAAGACTTGAAATTTGGTGTGAAGGTGTCAAATTGATGCCCGGGAAGGTACTGAAAATTTAGCGGCGCTGCGCGCCGCCGTTTTCTTGCTATTCAGGAAAAACCACAGGGGGGGGGGGCCAAAATGGCCCCCCCCCAACGGGGCGAGGGTTAAGCACAAATATAATATGACCCGTAGCATATAGAAACCAGAGAAGTATAAATGCAGGGGTGTAAAAACCAATGTACAAAAGTGATATTTATTGACAAACAGTTTCGGGGTTGACACAAGCACAAACTGCCATCGAAAACACAAGGGCACAAAAACATAGGAACTCTCATTGCTTTCAATGACACCCAAAGGAACACTCACTGACTGAAACTTTTGAACTCTTTTGAGTTATGCAGTAACCCGATTCAGCGACCATCGATCAGAAGTATCTCACTATTGGCGCTTCCTCATCCTGCTCAGGGTTTCAAGAGATCAAAATCACATTGACCTACCCGGTTGCCTTATCAGAACTAGGCAAGGTTCTTGTCCATGAAACTACATGAACTACATGGAACTACATGTCATGTACCTACCATACCTGAGCTGGTTTTGAAGAAGAGACGTGTTTGTACACTGGATTATCACAAACAAGTCTACAGGCCGACGAGCACAGCCTTCAGTACGTCATATCAGCGCACTGAACAGCAGACAACAAACATGAGCAATATAAACAGCTTAAATCACCACTTCTGAAGCTGAATGTAATTAATGAGCTCCCACTGCGTAATCATGTCAGCTCATTACACTTAACATAGCAAATGTTCTTACATCCGCAACTAAAAAAGCCAGTCTGTCTTTCATGAAGACCATCGTCTACTACTCAGCCCGGCGCATAGCTTCCGAGCGCAAACGAACTTTCTCATGGTCATGGCTTTGATACAACGTATAATCTGAGCTCCGAATCTCAGCACATGAGTCTTCCGCAAACACAGCCAAATTGCGTAGCGGAACTTGCACCATAGTCCACAACTAAATCTTTTACGAATCTTTTTTTTTCTCGGGACACAGCACGCGGCTCAGTTTCTGCTCCAGGCCTGAAACACAACGAACAGTACACACTCATCACAAAGAGTTCGCGCATCACATGGTTGGTAGAGCGCCGTGTGGCGGCGCTTACACTGGACTTGGATCGTTGGTGTCCGGCTCGCCCCCGCTTGGTGAGTTCACATAGGCCGGTGGTGGTGTGGCCGCACCAGCGACTTCGTCCGGCTGCGGGGACCCCTGCCCCTGCATCACCATATACACCTGTGAGGAACAGCCAGAGTCAGATGACACTAAAAGACACGGTGAGGATACACCGAGTTACACACAGGGGCGGATACATCAGGTGTCAGATGACACGTTAGTATGTATCCGAACTCAACGTCAGTGAGACGGTTGTGGAGTGTTGTGACGGGCTTACCCATGCAGCACTTGCGTTTCCCGGTTACTCACTAACCAGGTTTACTACACCGCTATCCTCGTAGCTTAACCCTGGCCCGCACATGGGGGGGGGGGGGCACCCCAGGTAGTTTTTTTCTGCGCTGCACTAAACATTTTTAAAGCTAGAAGTCTGATTTTGCGTATAGTTGCTGTTCTATCCTTTCTCAGCGTCCACCGAAAATTTACAGTTTCTGTGGTTTTTGGTTTCGGAGATATGACCTTGTTCTTCGGAGACCGTTTGCTGCGGGGGGGGGGCGTTAAACGCCCCCAGCCGATAACTCGAGAACCAAAAACGCAGCGAAACGCACGAGGCGGCAAACGAAAGAACGCGACGAGACGCTTCAGATGAGTACTTTAAAGTTGAATTTTGAGGTCACAGGTCGGGTCAGGTCAAACACCAGAAATCGGGCTTTCAGTAGCATGGACTTCAGGACTTCGCAATGGGCGCCTCTCGTCATAAACTCTGTCAAACGGTGCACAATCCATCATATAAGGCCTACAAGAGTGTCAGCTCCATGTAGGGGTCAGTAAAGCATAGGTCAAGGTCAAGGTCAGGTCAACCGGGTAGGCACATATCCCCGAAAATCAAAACTGATATTCGCAGCCTGTGACACATGTTTTATGGGTAATTTGGGGCGTAGAACACGATAGTGACATTCATTTTATCATATGTGTACGTGTTTGGCTCAAAAAGTTCAATTTAAGAAATGCATGTAACATGGTCCTGAAGTAGTCACGAGAAATTGCCAAGATTCAGTTCAAGATTTTGGAAAGTGGGGAGCGATAATCAATAATCGAAGATAGTCATTTAATTGGTCATGATATTGGCAGTCTAATGGCGTTTACGGCATGTCTGTATGTCTATTCTGTGATTTTATATGATTTTTTGAACATATGCCGTTTTTGGTCGAAAACTCAGAAGTCATGACGTCACTAAAACCTCGATATCTCAAAACATTTTCGACCGATTTTTTTGAAACTTTGTCACAATAAACTTCAATCAATTCTCTACAGGTACCTAAAATTTGGCGCGCCTGCAGCGCCAAATGCCAGCGCCCGGCGAAAAAAGTGGGGGCGTTTAACGCCCCTCCCCCCCCGCAACTCGCGGGCTATGTGCGTTCTAGGATGGGAAAATGGCATGTGCGGACGAGGGTTAAGTATATACAGGATGTTGCACCAATAGTGGTCACATCTTAGCTGCTAACACGGAGAAAACTGGAGATCTCGGGTCAGGGACACGGCTCTTTCTGGCTGCTTGGGTTGAGAAGGAGCGGAGAGATGTCTATAGCTCCTGTCAGGGTCGCAACCTCTAGAAACAAGCCGACAGCTCTGGGGTCAAAGAAAACGCTCTACGTGCCGGACTTTATGACAAATCAGCGAGATTGTGGAATGAACATTTTGCAGTTGTGAAACCGCCGCCAAGTTTGGGCATGACGGATGAGTCGCATTTCAACTTGTGAATCAATGCTTTTATTTTTAGTGTGTGGGCTCTACAAAAGAAAAAAAAAACTATTACGTGAGTGGGCGATAAGTGAATAAAGTGATAAGTGCTAAGTGAGTGAGTAACTGAGAGTGAGTGAGAATTGAGGAACGTAAAGTAAAAGAAAGATAGAAATAGATAGATAGATAGATAGATATATAGATATATAGATAGATAGATAGATAGATAGATAGATAGATAGATAGAGAGAGAGAGAGAGAGAGAGAGAGAGAGAGAGAGAGAGAGAGAGAGAGAGAGAGAGAGAGAGAGAGAGAGAGAGAGAGATCCTACATTCAACCCGACTCAGACGTGGACCCGGCTACTCACATTTGGTGCGAAGCCGTCGACCATGGTGCCGATCCGCTCGACCAGCTGACAGAAGCTGGGTCGGCTGTGGGCCTCGAGCTCCCAGCAGTGCAGCATCACGGCGTACCTAGGGGATTCGGGCAGTGTCATACCCCCGACACTTCGTAGGTATCCAATATCCCGTTATACAGCTGAGACAGCTGTGTCTTTGACATCGCGTAGCCGGCACTTCATTTCTTAGTACCTATGAGCACTTCTGCGAATAGTTTTATCTTTTAGGGAGGCGGTGAGGCGAGTCATACCCGGGGACTGCAACAACAGAACAGCGCGCCTTTCTGGGCAGGCTCACTGACGCCGCATTCAAACAATGCTATCGCATGGCTTACGCTCCAAGGATTCAGAGCTGTCATAAAGACAGCATTTCGAGTTCAGCGGATATAATCGGATTCATGTACGCGTAACTGTTCGGTAAATCCGCCTTGTCTAAGTGGATATCCCAAAAATTCTGCGAATAGTACCAAGGCGTGTTTTTTTTTCCTCACGGAAGCCGGTTACTGTGCAGTACAGCCAGACTGCGGTGGTCTGGCCCCGCGGCTAAAGAGTTGAAGGATTAGGAGCGAGTTGGATCCAAAGTCGGGGCCATCCGATGGTCCGGATGTGTGAGGTAGGTAAAACCGCCGCGGAACTATACAGCTGAACAGACCTAACGGCACGCAACGAAGCGAGGAATATGGTCTTAGCTGAACCGGCAGGCTACCGTATCAGTGGGCAATGGGGATTGGAAGAGATGAGCTCTCTGGGATGGTATCTGACATCAATTGTTATACATTGTTACAGCATTGAATATCGTCAAGTTTTTTCCGGACCTTTCATAATAAGTTGTGATAACATTTACAGTAAAGAGCAAATTTCACACCGAATTACAAAATAACGAATAAACATCAATATACGAGTACAATCTTTGCATCTTCAGAAATCTTGCACGTTAAATCGTCGGTGTTCAAAACTTATTTTGAAAATAATATTATTCATACCTACAACTAGGTGTCCAGCATTACGAGCAGCGTAATCAATCACTTTTCATTAAAATCGGCCCAGTAGCGGCCGAGTTATTGCCAGAATACATTTGGTGACTTCTTTTGGCCGGCGGTGCTCTGTTCCAGCATTCATTGCCAAAGGTCAGTGACCTTCCGGCTCTCATTTCCCTCAGTTTTGCAAGCGAAGAAACTGAGGCTAAGGCGCATGCCGTCTGCTCGGCGCCGGCCGCGGCCCAAAATGCTGCAAAGATGCGCGCGTCACGTGCACACCACTGCACGCACCCCCTCGAAAAGTTGATACGACAAACAGATGCACGAGTCCGACTTACGTTCAAAATTTCACACCCGTAGCCCGCACCGTTCCGGAGCAATAGCCCGCCAAGCGTGACGGACGCGTTACATACGTACATACGTACATACATACATACGGACGTTTTGATTTTTATAAGAGGAACTAGAGGGACAGCATAACGCGCAGCGTAATAAATCAATTTTCAATAAAATCGGCCCAGTAGCGGGCGAGTAATTGCAAGAATAAATTTGGCGTCTCCTCCTGGCCGGCGGTATACCCTGTTCCGGTATTCATTGCCAAAGGTCAGTGACCTGCCGGCTCTGGTTTCGCTCAGTTTTGCAAGCGAAGAAACTGAGCCTACGGCGCGTGCTCTCTGCTCGGCGCCGGCCGCGGCCCAAAATGCTGCAAAGATGCGCCCGCCACGTGCACACCACTGCACGCACCCCCTCGAAAAGTTGATACCACAAACAGATGCACGCGTCCGACTTGAGTCGAAAATTTCACCCCCGTAGCCCGCACCGTTCCGGAGCAATAGCCCGCCAAGCGTGACGGACGCGTCACATACATACGGACGTTTTGATTTTTATAAGAGGAACTAGGTGTCCAGCATTACGCGCAGCGTAATAAATCAATTTTCATTAAAATCGGCCCAGTAGCGGCAGAGTTATTGCCAGAATAAATTTGGTGACTCCTCCTTGCCGGCGGTGCGATGTTCCGGTATTCATTGCCAAAGGTCAGTGACCTCCCGGCTCTGTTTCCGCTCAGTTTTGCAAGCGAAGAAACTGAGCCTAAGGCGTGTGCTCTCTGATCGGCGCCGGCTGCGACCCAAAATGCCGTTAAGATGCGCCCGCCACGTGCAAGCCTCCGAGCGCACCCCCACCAAAATTTAATACGACAAATGGTTGCACGCGACCGACTCGGCGCGAAAATTTCAACCCCGCAACCCCCACCGTCTCCGCGCAACAGCCCGCCAAAGGGAACTGACGCGTTACGTACATACGTACAGACGTTTTGATTTTTATAAGAGTAACTAGAGGGACAGCATTACGTGCAGCGTAATAAATCAATTTTCATTAACCCTCGCCCGTAAACGGTATTTTGCCACCTTCGCCCATGAAGGGGGGGGGGGTGCGACCCCCCCTGGCGTTTGAAAACGGAGCGTCGTAGAGCTTAGCGGAAAAGACCAACGGATTGCTCTCAACGAGATCTCGCGATTGGCGGTATATTTTTTGGTCCTAGGTCAACATTTGACCTACTTATGACCGGTCAAAGGTCAAATTTTCGGAAAAATCTAACTTTTTCAGATTTCCGCGCCGATTGCGGCAAAACGGTAAGAGATATCGACTTGAAACCTTCACTATCGTGATCCTTGATCAATTCTCTGTCGTTTGGTGCGTATTTCGATGTCATAACTCTAAAAATGATGCGTTGGGAGCATCGGAAGTCTGCAAGGTCATTTGTGCATTGGGTCACGTCAGGCGTGTGACGTCACTGACCTGATCCTGACCCAAAATGGACTACAAGAAACAACCGACGATGCCTGAAATGGATAGCAAATTCGAATTCAGGGCATCAAAATACCCCGAAAAGGCATACAAGTGCAAGAAGTCATTACAGGTCAACCGAGGTCACTGACCTGACCTTGACCTTTAGTAACCTTGAAAAGGTCAACGGACATTGTGCCAATGTCAAATCAGCCAGTTATGATTCTAAAACAATCCATCAGTGTGTCAGGTCAGTCGGCATTTATACCAATGTGAAGCAATATCCAATTTAGCGTAAATCTGGCCGGAGGTTGTTCCCTTTATGACGTCATAACTCCGTGACCTGTCATGACCTTGACAAAAAAATACACCAAAAGTTGCGCAAAGGAAGCCCCATAGGGTACTGAAAATTTGAGCAGGCTATCTGAAACGGTTCAGCGTGTAGCTAAGAAAAACCTCAGGGGGGGGGTTGCACCAACCCCCCCCCCCCTACATGGGCGAGGGTTAAAATCGGCCAAGTAGCGACCGAGTTATTGCCAGAATCAATTTGGTGACTCCTCTTGGCCGGCGGTGCTCTGTTCCGGTATTCATTGCCAAAGGTCAACGACCTCCCGGCTCTGATTTCGGTCAGTTTTGCAAGCGAAGAAACTGAGCCTGTAGCACGTGCTCTCAGCTCGGCGCCGGCCGCGGCCAAAATCCCGCAAAGATGCGCCCGCCACGTGCAAACCACCGAGCCCACCCCTACCAAAATATAATACGACAAATGGTTGCACGCGTCCGACTCGGCGCCAAAATTTCAACCCCGCAGCCCGCACCGTTCCGGAACAACAGCCCGCCAAAGGGAACTGACGCGTTACATACATACATACATACGTACAGACGTTTTGATTTTTATACCTTTTATACAGGCAAATAGTGTGCGCTAACCAGTTTTCTCAGTAATTTAGCTAGCAATTCTCGTGCCGTGTTCAAAGAGACGTTTACAGTGAAGGGCAAACTTAAAAAACGAACTAGGTATAAAATTATAGTTCGTTTTTCTTAAGTTTGCCCCTCACTGTAAACGTCTCTTTGAACACAGCACGAGAATTGCTAGCTGAATTACTGAGAAAACTGGTTGACGCACACTGATTTGACCAGATTTCACAGACGATCAATTTCATCAAATTTATTTACTATTTCACAGACTCGTAGCTCATATTTAGCAATACCTACAGCCCCACAGGGATAGACGACTTCTCAGGAATTATGTCTGAACTAATAAATAAATTGCACGGCGCTTAACATAACGCTAAATCGTCGGTGTTCAAAACTTATTTTTGAAAATATTATTCATATCTACAATACAATGTGCGCTAACCAGTTTTCTCAGTAATTCAGCTAGCAATTCTCGTGCTGTGTTCAAAGAGACGTTTACAGTGAGGGGCAAACTTAAGAAAAACGAACTATAGCCGACGTTCGATTTTCTCAGGTTTAGTTTTTCCCCGTTTTGCTCGCTAAAACACGTGCTTATTCGAAAAAACATACCTGGAGCCAGGTGGGTGACGGCACGTGATTGCCTGAGGCGGTGGGTAAAAATATTTTTGTCATTTAATGCTCAATGCAATCGCTGCGACTTTTTACAAGACCTTCTCCTCGTCGTTGTTTCTTGCTTTCAACGACTGGTCCCCGAGTGATGACTATCCTCACGTAAGACATGATGAATGGAGCTAGCAATTAAGCCCCAAAAATGTTATAAAACACTTCTTTTGAAGGAGATGAATTGAATGGTTTTGGAGCCTCACGAAATATGTTTCAGATATGACGCGTCACACAAACTGACGCATAAAGACTGAGTTCAAAAGTGTGATCGCAAGCACTTGTTGACGAATGAAAAGCGTAGGTACTGCCCGGTCGCCATAGCGACAAGTAAGCGTCACAAATTTTGAACACTATCCAAGTGCGCTAAGTTCGACTACATCTAGGATGATGGGTGATGGTTGCCAGCTGATTAATTTAAAACGCGAATAAATTCAACTTTTGTTTGAGATTGCGAGTAAAAATGTGTTTGCTAATTTCAAATATCATTGAATTAGTTTTTGTAAATAAATTTACTACAAACGCCTCTGTGCAAAGCCTTTCTAGAATAAATCAAGGCTTATGAAAATCGTGAGGAGGGTTGGGAAAGGCAGGAAAAAGGATCACGTGACTAGCATCCCAACCTTATCTATAAGAATCTTGCCTGGAGCCAGAAGTCCTTTTGAAAAAAAAACGAACTATATAATATAGGCATACGCAGGATAGGAAATATATCAATAAAGATAACCGATTGAAGAATTAAAAACACAGCGGGGCTACTTTTCCCGATACTTGAAACCATTCCAATTACCCGCACCATATGACCATTCTAGAAGCAGCTGATTATTGTCCAGTTGCTATCAGCGTAACAATGTATAATAAATCTATTGAATTTATTTTAGACAAGGATTAGAGTCACACCAAAAACGTTTGTCATGTCGAGTGATTTCCGCGATCCGCTCGAGATTAAAGGGACCCTCCCACCTTCAAAAAAGTTAATGAATTGGCATAAAAGTGATGTAGCGTGAATCACAAAGAGCGAAAATGAACATCTACCAAATTTTACCGGAAAATATTCACCCGTTTTCGAGATATAAGACTTTTATTTTTGTTTACTTTTAGGGAAATCCGCTGTTTCTATGACGTCACATAAAGGTTTTCTTTACGTCGGCATTTGGAAGCAATAGTTTGGTATCAAAGTGCGACAAATATTGCGCGAATGATGCGTTTATCTTATCAAGGTCAATATATGATGGCCAATAAAGGATTCCAGGACAATTCTTATGGCATTTCTTCGTATCGCAATTCTTTGTCTGCAAATCTTCGTCAGGGCATTTATTCGTACCTATCGCATTACTTTGTCTCGCACCAGGGTATATGAAAATCGGCTCGCATTTCTTCTTCAACGCAAATATATGCAAGAGTAAGCATTGAGGGACAAATAAATACACCGACGAAGATTTGTAGACGAAGAAATGCGGACGAAAAATTGTGCTACGAAGAAATGTCATGCGAGGATTCGTTCGGGTACCATGACATTTATGTGATTTCAAAGTCAAGGTTCACAGCTGATCTGCTAAATCAAGCCAAGAATCCAAACTATCAAAAAACTATAAATATTTGTTTGTCTGTCACAGAGGTCTCAAGCAATATAAGGTTGACATATGTTGGATCAAAAATCTACTGCCACAACTCACATCTCCTGCCTTAGTTTATCATTGTTGTTTTAACTTGCTTTCAAGAGAAACAGAAGCCAGTATCTGATATCACTTCAGATGATTGTTTCAAGATCTGAGTTCAAATGGAAATAAAAGCAAGATCAAGATGAAACAGGGATTATTGCTGTTAAAGTAGTTTGGCCATGATACAACAAGCACATAAATCATTAGCCAAATCAAATACTGGTTGGTTTGTCAAGATGTTTGTTGTCTGTCGTCTGTCGAGCTGCTATGAACACTGAACGCTCTCACTAGAGAGTAGTTTAAGTTGAATGGTAGTGAGCTGTAATTAGACAAAGCAGCTATTCAGTGCTCACATCAAGCCAGGCTAGGAAATGGCATCAACTGTGGTGGGAGGAAGCAGGTTCGGCAGCCCTATGTTGTAAACTTCTGTTATGTCTTGTGTTTGATCAACTGATGTTTTCTGCTCTGTTTTGTGCAGTGATAGTAGCAGGTAACTGCATGCTTGTCAAATTATGTGAATAAACGAATTCATAACATTGCATTTTTCTCTCCATGCAAGGAACAAGTAAGATGTTGTAGAAAATGTAATAGAGGGCTGCATTGCTGATTTTGCACTTTATCAGAGCTTTATTTAGAATTGCTTTCCTGAAAGCTACACACAGGCCACAGTGCTGAAATTCACAATGTCATAGCTTTTGGCAGAAAAAAGAAAAGACTTACCTAGGTAAAATTGGCTGAAAGTATGGCAGAGCAGGTCTCGATGCGTATGCCCATCCGTGTGCTTGCCGAAGCCGAACTGACTGCAACACATTTAACTCTGACCCACCATGGTGGCTGGCATATCCTGAACTTTCACCACTCTAAACAAGACAACTTTCAGCCCTCAGCATTGTATTAAAACACTGTACAAAACACTCAAAATTTGTTTCAGTGCCATCCACGGTCCACGGACAACATCAGTCGCCATTCACCAGGCCAGTAAAAACAGAATAGATAATAGCTTCAAACCCATGTAGTCAGAGTTACTAGGTCTGCACCTCAAAACAAAATCCAGGTGACATTCACCACGCCAGTAAAAAACAGGTACTTAGGTAACGTAACAGCTTCAAATCTGGTAACATGTTGGTCGGACTTTACACTACCATATTTACATGGAATAATATGATACCAAACAATAGTGCAACCATTCTGGACAACAAAAGTGTATGATAAAATTAATTTAGAATACTCTGGCAGCATGATTTACGAGCACAGGCAGGTGTTACCTACCAGCCTTCTCAATGCTCGTAAAACCAACATTGTAGTTTTGATTTTACCTTACATGATAACACACTTGGCTGCAATGGCACATTCAATTTAATACTGTGAAAAGACCAGTTATAACCACTTCACAAGCACAATTGCACCTCATGCCGACATCCTTTTCCAAAGACAGTCAGCAGCGTCTTTCGTCTAAACTGGAAGATAAATCCCCTTTCAACTGTTAACATCAAAAATATTTCTTCATGGTGTGACTGTGATCTCCATATGGAAACCTTGCAGGGAAAGAATTAATGTCAATTGTCAGTCTTCAAATTTCTTTGGACTTTAACTTGCAGTACCATATCCAGTTTGCTTTGATATTTTGTTTTTTATTCCATGTTGAAGTTGAACACCAAGCTCCAGATATAGCAGGCAGCTTGATCATCTTCGGCCTTGGTATAATATCAGTCCAAGTTCCAGTGGTGGGTATCTTCTAATATTCAAATTAAAATGAAAAGCAATAGGCTTTCTCAGCGCCGACGACGGATTTCACGTTGATAAAAAAGGGAGCTCAAGGTCAGCAAAACTCGGGTTCAAGGAATGGCGGGCGTTGAAATGACTGCTGACGTCATCAAAAAACCGCTAATGGTTAAGAGATAGGGACTAAGCTGGTCCCACCCTGCAAGTAAAGGGAAGAAATTTCTTGAACACCATAAAGCTGCGGGGGTTGCGACCAGGATAAATGGTGGTTTCTGAGCCTGGCCGCAAACTTGGCTATCTCAACTCAAAACTAATGTTAAGGTGGGATGGTCCCTTTAACTTCCAGCAGGCAGCTATCTCTGGGAATTTCCATCCGAATACGCATGCATGAGGTCTGGCCAGGCCTGTCACGTGAAACCTGTTCTGTACCTTGCTGTCAGAACAAAGACGGCACTAAATGAGCTGGGCTTGCGGGGGCACTGGCCGCGGCACGCCAGTCCCAATCAGCATCCTTTCCGGGCCGTGTATGTATATCCCAGAATAATAGCGCAGAACCCAGCTCATTAGACATGGCCGCTGCTTAGGATGTATCTGGGATGCATATGGCTTTGGCAACGACAAATGAGCGGAACTGTTAACTAACACGTTACCATGGTTACCAACGAACGCGCAGCTCTCGATCATAAGCCCCTGTACACTAAAGTCTTCTTCCGGAGTTGTCTATATAATAAGGTCTATGTAGAACACTTTATGAAAGAGCGAATTTAATAAATGTATAATAAAATAGGAGGTACATTATGAGATGATTCATGTGGTCGAAACATCGCCGAGGCAGCTTGCTGGCATCAGTCCAAGCTGCCAGGCGATGCGATGCACCTGGCTCGAGCACCGAATATGAATGTGATGCGTCGCAACAGCAGTGCCCTCTGAGATACAGATCTTAGCAGTGCAGCCGAGCTCATCCCACATACACGGAAACATTCCTAGAGACTGTCATTAATCAAAGTGTCCTTGAGCGGCGATTTCGTCCTGCAATGCCGCTCGACAGAGCTCAGCACTGCCGCTCGACACTGCACCATCTCCGACCCACCCTTTGTCAGCACCACACCCGCACACAATGGAGGCGGATGACATTGCCAGCAGTGATCACAGACAGTAGCTGGGGCCAAGCGTGGGCGCATGGCACACCTGTGCAGACATTTGGCTACTATGTGTGCGCGCTGTGCAGGGCGGAAACCAGTGTAAGTGCTGTCGTGTGCTTGCATCACGGTGCAGATGTCTGCCTACTTATATTCAATGTTACCGTCTGCAGAGCTTTGCCACCATTTACGGAAGCTATCCTGATAGGGGAGTGGGCTGGGAGCCGACGCGTCCTTGAGTGAAGCTTTGTCACCGCGGTCACCGCAATGACGTCTATCAAGCCCTGCAACGTGTTTCCCTTCTTTGTCGTTGCTGTAATGCTGATGTTTCGAAATGCTAAATAGTAAGGCATCTACATTATTCACCCTCGAAAGGTTTTACAGGTGGAATAAGCTATAAAACACAAAATTATTGTTTCTCCAATTAGAATATTTATGAGCCATAGTGAGTGTATCGTCGGCTCATAGCTGATTATGCGGATGAATAAAATGAATCATGTGAAAAATGACGAACTCGCGAACAGAGCTGCGGAGTCGGAATCGGTCGGAGTCGACAGTTCTGCCCGGAGTCGGAGTCGCCAAAATCTTATCAACTCCGACTCAGGAGTCGAAGTTAGCACTGCATGGTCCAAATGCATGACCTGCACCTGTTTGCTTGACACCGCGCTCGTCGACCCATCCACATCATATTTTATCGAATCGAAGGCCATGCTCCTGTTCTGAAGGAGCGTTTTCAGAAAAAAGAAGACCGCGCTGCGAGAGCATCTCCTCTGAGTTCTGAACGCTACCTAGTTAAAAAGTATATTAGCAATGAATGGCCTTGAAACGAGCAAAGTAATGTTTCAGACGCGATAAAAGAATTCCGACATGAACTTTCCTATCATGATATGAGCTTAAAGAGTAACGTCCAGATTCGGAGCCTTATTTTTGAAGCCGGAGTTGGAGTTGGAGTCACAAAAATCGACTTCGCAACCCTTCTCGCGAAAACCAGACAATATGGCTCAAGACTTTTAAATTCGAAAGTCATAAAATTTATCCAAAAGTGAATCACGATCTCTCTCTCTCTCTCTCTCTCTCTCTCTCTCTCTCTCTCTCTCTCTCTCTCTCTCTCTCTCTCTCTCTCTCTCTCTCTCTCTCTCTCTCTCTCTCTCTCTCTCTCTCTCTCTCTCCTCTCTCCCCTGCCCCTACTCACAGCTCCTCGGGACACCCGGTCGGCCGGGCCAGTCGCTCGCCGGCCTTCAGCGAGGCGATCAGGTCTGGCACGCTCTGAACGCCGGCGTACGGGATGGCTCCCATCGTGAGGATCTCCCACAGGAGCACTCCGAACGACCAGCTGGGACGGAGACGGGGAGACGGTCAGATAAGGGCACACTCTACCAGCTGAGACATAGGGAGGGGCAAAGAATCAACACATTGTACTTACTAACCGGCTGGAAAGATAAACACTGTCATCAGGGAAGAGCGGTACGCTGCTTGCCTGGTCAGTTATCAAACAAAGTATGTTTGGACAGAAGGTAATTGCACCGATGTGAGATCTTGCACATAACACATCTTTGGCCATACCGGCCAGGAAAAATACGCCCAACCGGCAGAAAGGCAAACTAGCCCTAGCAATCACACCAGAACATTCAGATTCGGGGAAATACCGCCCAGATGAGATTAGGAGCAATCACAATCGCACAAAGGCTCGATCACTGTTATCACACTAAACCCTTCCCACATTCGACCCCCCCCCCCACTCACACGTCCGACTGCGAGGTGTAGAGCCGCTCCAGGAGCGCCTCAGGGGCCATCCACTTGACCGGCAGCCGGCCGTCTGTCACCTTTCGGTAGTAGTCTTTGTCGCGTACGTCTCGCGCCAGACCAAAGTCGGCGATCTTGGCTATACCGCTCTCAGCGATGAGCACGTTACGGGCGGCCAGGTCACGGTGCACGCACTGGTGGGGTCACAGGTTACGAGGTCAAATCATTATTCGGAGGTCACGGGGTCATATGTAGCTGGGTTAGAGGTTCTGGGGCCAATGAGTTAGTTATATGTCATGGGCTGCATGCCACAGATTAGACATTACGGGTTAGATGCCACGGGGTTGAGGCCACATGATCAAAGGTCAGAGAACCATAAACAAGATTTAACCCGGTGAGAATAATAATGTGACATTTAGGGAACACTGAAAAGTTGAGTGAAAAAAAAAACACAAACAGAAAAAAAAACTAAGGAAAATTAAGTGAATCGGGAGTGCCCAAGTGCCCACCAAGCAACCTCGCCTGACTGACAGATTGTTTACAGATTGTCTAATGAGATTGTTTGACAGAGCGCGGCTGTAAACTGACCTTTTTGGCAGCCAGATACTCCATGCCACGGGCCGCCTGAAAGCCGAACTGGGTGAGGTCGTACAGGGTCGGCACCTCCACATCGAACGGCCGCTCATAGTTGGGCATCTCGCGACGCTCACGCAGGTACGTCTGAAGATTTCCTGCCGATCAACAAACAACAGTTACACCACCGATGAGCCTAGAAGGTCAAGCGCTTACTTAGACTTTGCCTCCTTCGGGACTAGCCAATCTGCATCCCTGCTCGCACTAATAACACTACCTTGTCAAGGTTGACGGTCACCGACACCAGAGAGCCGGTGATGAGGGCAAGTTCTCTATTGGACTACACCCTCTCCGGGGGTGACCGTTTCAGTGACAGGGCGGGTTAGTGTCACATTGGGACACTAACGTTCCGACCCGACGGTCTCTACTCTCTGCCACTGCCTAGTACCGTCGGTGATCCATACATTTCAATGCATTCACCATATTCTAGCATCCCATATTTATTCAAGGACCATTTCCGGACGAAAGAGCATGTTCCCAACAAAAGGAACGAGCAAACCACGAGCGGTACCCGTACACTCACTTTCCACTAAACAACACAAATCAGACCAAATGGCCAACACACCTGACACCACCTCATTGATCCGCCTCCTTCCCCCCTCTCGAACGTTCTCTCACCGTAGCGGGCGTACTCGATCACGACTAGGGGCGTGTCACCGCGTGTGCACGTGCCCAGGAGGTTGACGATGTTTACGTGCCTGCCGATCTTCTTCATGAGTTCCATCTCGCACACAAAGTCGACAAGGTCCGAGTCGGAAAACCCGTCTGAGGTCGGATGGAGAGAGATGGCTGTCATATTTCATAAATATTTCGTACTGATCGGCGCTGCACTGCTGACACCGTGTGGTGAAATTACGTTTATTGATTTAGGAAAGCTTGTGATGACGGGGTTCACGTTAAAGCGACAAACGATTTGTAATTAAAGTGGAACTTCGTTTATACGTTTTCACTCGAAATAAACTTTTGTGTCACCTGTTGTGGAGCTGGAGCGATTTAAATGCTTAACTCGGCAGGTAATGCCAATTTAAAATAAACCAGTTTTGCTCCTGTAAAAGCTACTTGTACATTCTTTCTTACACATTCTTACATGCATTTTACACAAACATAACATCCCAGGAAACTCGAATAATCTCCCAATTTCAAAGCCCAAAAGTATGAAGAAACGCTACACTACCCATGCCAGACAGGTTTACTAAAACAATGTCCCACACACCCAACACAAAGCATACCTTTCAGCATCTTCACTGCGACCAGGTCAGAGCTGCCGTCAGGCTGGCTGAGCCTGCCGCGGAGAACCCGCCCGAAGCATCCCTCGCCCAGCGGGGTGTCGAGTTCCAGTCGCTTCCGGTCGAGCTCCCAGGTGGGGTCGTCTGGTAGGAGGGCGACCAGCGGCTTACAGCCCGGGCTTAGGGAGGGGTCAGGTCAGGTCAGTTGATAATGCGGGGAGGGGAAGAGTTAATGAGCGGGGAAGGAATGTTAACGTCATGAGAGGAAGAAGTAATGCGGTAACGAGCCAAGGAGATAAGTGAGAGCTAAGCGAAGAAGAAAAACGGGAAGGGGCGAGAGATATAAAGCCAGCACAGGGACAGTGTTATGGGAAACTTTGGAGAGAGAGTGAGAGAGTGAGAGTGAAAGAGTGAGTGAGAGAGTGAGAGAGTGAGTGAGTGAGTGAGTGAATGAGTGACTGAGTGACTGAGTGAGTGACTGAGTGAGTGAGTGGCTGAGTGAGTGAGGTGAGAGAAGAGCAATACATTCCGAGACGAATGCCTATACGCTACGACACGAACAGAGCAGATCTAGATATCAGTGTTGAGTAGGCTCTAAGTCACCATGGCAAATGCTCAAGCACGGCAAAACTAGCCGGTGCCCAAAACATGACAGTACCACAGCGTATCGCCACCATCTGGTCATTTAGCGAGCAGATCTCTCCATCGCACCGGTTCGCGACTATACACCGCTACAGACGTGTCTGGAGATTAAAACGAGGGCGCCTCGGCAGCCGGCCTCCGACGAATGGGTGAGTGTCTGGTCGAGAACTGCACTCTGTAGCCAGCCGGCGTTCCAGAAGTTTATCATGCAAGTGCATATGTGTTTTATGTTTGCAGCACATTCCGTACAGTGCGATATAGTTCCGTTTGATGAAACGTTACTTACTGCTTAGTATGACAGCTTACATGTAAAACGCATTTTTATTCACACTTTTTCATTAATGGCTAGAAATATGGGGCTGTTATATTGGTTCCTCGCCTATGATATTCCACCTTTAATTAAAACCCGTGTCGGTCTTTTTGTTTTTACTCTCAGCGAGGAAACGCAACAAGGCTAAGTTCATCATAATGATCATAGATGGCGTTGGTAAAGAACGACCTGTCCCACCTGAGGAGGCGGTTTGCCCGTCTCCTATGGGCCTTCTGGGGCGGCGAATAAATTATAATTTGACCTTGAAAGGTCAACTTGAAAATTTGACCTCAGGTCAAGGTCATGACCTGACCGGAAAAGGTCATGTTGCATATCAGTCGATCCGCAACGTCGAGCTGAACACATCTAAGGTGTTTTCAGCGCCCTAGCACGCCTCTATCAGAAGTTATTAGCGAAAAACTGTTATATTATGTGCGTGACCTGAGATGACCTCGGGGACATAACGAGGGGTAACAGTTGCCATTTTCCGGTTCAGTGTGTCAATTTTCCCTACATCTCGATGTTTGAGAGTGTCTAGAATAGCGTTCGTGCAAAACAGACGCTTTTCAATTTTCTCCCATTGACTTATAATGGAGAGGCCTCAAAACTGACCTGACCTTAGGTCACCGACATCAAAATTCCGAGATATACATTTCATAGATAATGTTGCTCTACTCAATCGCTGAAAGTTTCAAGGCAATCAATCAGTCGGTGTAGCTATGACGAGCATTCTTATTTTTTTTCTGAGGTGAGGTCACTTGGCGTGACCTGGTGACCTGACCTAAGGCGACCTGGGTCTGAAATTTTCACAACAGGTGCGGTAAAGATGCACAAACAGGTGTGCCAAAAATGGCTGCGCTCCGCGCCGCCGTTTTTGAGATATCTGCGAAAAACCGCAGGGGGGGGGGGGTGTTCAAACACCCCTCCCGGCCCGGCGCGGGTTAAGATCAAAAGTTATAGGTAAGCGAAAAACGTTTGACCTGTTTTAGCGATAGTTTTACTTCTATACCCCCAAACCCCCCTAAATGTCGACCTAGAGGCTAGAGCAACCAAATTTGCATTTGGGCGAGAATTCCGAGAGGGCCACCTACCTTCCGAATTTGGTGTTTCTATGTGCCATAGGAGCAAATCGCGAGGGAGGGGGGGGGGGGGAGGGCGGGTCGAATGAAAAATGCCCTGCCAGGGCCAGGGTTAAAGACCACATTTGATTCGGCAGTCATGGTTGCCCTACATTACAGCCCGAAACCAGGTAAAATAGGGCTAATCAACAGCCCATGGAGGCCGGAAACTAAAATTATGCAACTAGCGTGCACTGCAGCTCAATTATGCAAACCATGTGCACTGCTGCTCGACCCTGACATATTGCTCCAGCGAGTGAACCACGTTTTACCGGAAGATTCTGAATCACATACAAACTGCGCCCAAATCATCACACACAGAGACGAAATCAGAACCGGTTCACGGGCCCTTTTTCTATCCGGCTACAACCTAAAGGCACGGTCACCACAGCCGGCGTCACTCTGCCATTGCATCACCGACCGCAAGCCGGAACAGCCAGCCCAAAGTGTGTATTTTCCAGCCACAGACGGGCCGTCGAGACTACGGAGGCTGAGGCGCAAAACTTACGGAAAGCTACCTAGCACGTCCAAAACTTTGGCACGAAAATCACAGTACTTAGCAACAACAAAAAGAAAACGAGCTAGCTATATGACGATGTACCACAGCAATCGATTTATTCAGACTTCATAAAAAAAGAGCGCGTGGAGTGTTCAAAACGGCAGCATTTCGACCCAGGCTATAGGCTACGGGCACTAGGCAGCCTCTTTGTGAGTCATTCAAATTCTATTTCAGACAGGACCGTGACCCGTAACTCCCTGGTCCATCAAAATTTTAAACGGTGTGAGGGTTTAGAGTTAATGCTACCACTTGATATGTCGGTAGCGTTTCGACAACTAACCGCCTAAGCACTCAAACACTCAACTAGCGCCTAACTGACATACCTTTTTCAACCGACCCCTGGCTATCCAACTACCTAACTATTTCAAAGAGCGACGTTACTAAAAGATTGGGGCTAGCAGATGATCAAAACCCTTGACTCTCATTAACCCGCGCCCTGCCGGGGGAGGGGGTGTTTGAACACCCCCCCCCCCGTGGTTTTAAGCCAATATCTGAAAAACGGCAGTTTGGAGCGCCGACGTTTTCGGCACACCTTATTACGCATCAATTTTACGTGTTGTGAAAATTTCATAACAAGGCCATTCAAGGTCAGGTCACTTGAAGTGATCTCACCTCATAAATAGCTTCAATGTCTGCCCTAGCTACACCGAGTGACCGATTGCCTTGAAACTTTACGCGATTGATATGAGCAGCAATATGTACAAAATATTTATCTCGGAATTTTGGTATCGGTGACCTAAGGTCGGGTCAATTTTGCGACATCCGCATTATTAACCCGCGCGGGGCTGGGGGGGGGGGTAAATTTTACCCCCCCCTCGCGAATTTTTGCGATATCTCAAAAACGGCGGCGCGCAGCGCCGCCAAACTTTCAGTACCTTTTCTTACATCAATTTGACACGTTCCCTGACAATTTGAGCGAAATCCGTCGGAAAATTTTTGAGAAATTGACGTTTTAGTGACGTCATGTTCGTCATTTTCGCCTCAAAAACGGCAAAAGTTCAAACGCCGCTAACATCTTCATTTTTAAAGGAATCAAGACGTAACAAAAAAGGTTATACGTAATTTTACTTTGTCTATCAAATGGCTATCTCGCTTTTTTGAAAATTTTGGATTTTGGCCTAATTTTTTTTCAAAAAACTGATTTTTTTGGGAAAATCATTATAAAATCCAAAATTTTGAGTCTATCAAAAAACCGGAATATATGTCAGAGAAGTGGTCTATGTGCACCTACATACCAAATTTTAGAAGAATCGGTTCAAAAATGTGGGAGTTATTCAAAATTTTATGACGTCACGACACACAAATTTTTTGAAAAATGACTTTTTTGGAAGTTCTAGACCTCGTACGGAAACAAAAATAGCACCATTCGATTCGCCGTGAAAAACTGCATCAGATAGACACCCTTTTAGGCCTTAACAACCAACTTCAAAATTTGACCTCACTTGACCTGACCTTGACCTGACCTCGACCTGAAATTCATCCAGAGGTGGTCCATATCACTTATTGAGTGTGCCTATCCTATTGAATTCTATGAGTAAAATGACCCATAAAACATGTGTCGCACATGCCCTTTTCTATATTTTGTTTTTTGGTGACCTGACCTGACCTGACCTGACCTTGACCTTGACCTCTGAATGATATTGTATGCAAAGAATATTGTCTTGGTAGCCTAAGAACACGTTTTGGGCGATCAGTCTCAGTCCATGACTCCATTCTTCGGCAACTACGGTGCAAGGCCGATACTGTAGAAACTTGCAATTTGTACCCTTGACCTGACCTTGACCTTGACCTCAAACTTTAAATTAAGTACATGTTTTCAGTAGTTCGTGATGAGAGCTTTCGATTGGCGTTTGAATTTTCCAAATCGGACCGTTAGTTCGGGAGATAACAGGGGGGGGGGGGTAAAATTTACCCCCCCCCCAGCCCCGCGCGTTCGGCTGGAGACCCCAGCCCCGCGCGGGTTAATCAATGGGAGGAAATTGAAAGGCGTCTCTTTTGGGCGAAGCAGTTATAAACACTCGTGCGATGAAAACGCATTGGATGTGTTCAGCTCGGCGATACGGATCGACTGATATGCAGCATGAACCTTTCGGGTCAGGTCATGACCTTGGCCTGAGGTCAAATTTCCAAGTTGACCTTTCAATATCAAATTATAGTTCATTCGATGCGTCTTGACGAGAGGAACACGATGCCGGTAAAAGAAAGCTCGTGCATGGCTTATGTCAAAAGTTATTGCAGAAAATATGTTTCCGAAAAATCGACTATTTTGGCAATTTTTGCCCCCTGCAGGCAAAACCGTTGACGCTAGGTCAAATCTGATAAAATAGTCTGAAAGAGCATTAACCCTCGCCCGCACATGGGGGGGGGGGGGTGGTTGCCACCCCCCCCCCCCAGGTAGTCTTTCTCTTCTGCACTCAACATTTTTAGAGCTAGAAGGCTGATTTTTCGTATAGCTGCTCCTCTATCCTTTCTTGATGTCCACTGAAAATTTCAAGTTTCTGTGATTTTTGGTTTCGGAGATATGACCTTGTTTGTCAGGTCATGTCATGACCCAAATGGCCAATTCTCAACATATTGCGTTTGCCATGGGCCTTATGAGCTTTTGACACCCTGATTTCGGCCTTTTTTGCCAGTCTTACCTCCCACCTATCATGGAACATGTTGTTCGACGATGTACAGGGGTCAAGGTCAGGGTCAAGGTCAACCTAGGTCATCTAAGATAATTGCGTTTTAGGCAAGCTGAATTTACTTTTTTTGAAGTTTTTTGACTGCATTTTTGGTAAAAGCTTCTCAGATCATGATTTCGTGTAATATGGACCCAAAAACAATCGGTGCACACATCAGTATACACACAGACACACACAGACATACAAACACATATAATTGACCTTGACCTAACTTGACCTGAAATGACCTCAGCAGCAAAATTCTGGTCGGGTAGTGTGACAAAGAGGTTCTAGCTGGCTTGGCACCAGAAAACAGCATCGTCATCGGTATTTGATAAGCAGCACACTTGATATCCAACGGTGACCCAAAACAGCAACATTTTTTAGTTTGACCTGACCTGGAAGGTCAATGACTGACCTGAGAAGGTAAAACTGGGTATCATTGGATTCGTCTCTTCCCAAAGAATCTTTTTGGTCTTTACCGCTAAGCTCTATCTCCAACAGGAACGAAATGGCGCGAGGGGGGTGGCAACCCCCCCCCCCTCCATGTGCGTTCTAGGATGGGAAAATGGCATGTGCGGGCGAGGGTTAAAACGATTATCGAATGCGCTTTTCCGCGGCGCTGTAGCTCTATTGGTTCCCGAGTTATGCGTTCGCTCCTTAGAAATTGTCCACATTCGACCTGAAAATCGGCGACATTTTGCCTTCAGTGACCTCTGGTGACATGACCTTTGACCTGACCATGAAAGTGACCGAAGTGTTTTCGTCAATATTTTTGTCGCTCTTTCGAACGCCGCCTTCCGCGTATCGCTACATGGCCCAGGAGCCGAGTTAGAAGGGGGGGGGGGTGTTCAAACACCCCCCCCCCCCAGCAGGGCGTGGAAATCCAGGACCCCAGCCGGGCGCGGGTTATCCGTCACACAATAATCTGGCCAATTATCTGACTTCTGGTCCTTTCGGTAGGGTGGAAGCCCTGTGCAGTGTGCACTACTAAGTACTTTTCATATTTTTGGCAACAAACTCGGCTCTCGGCCGATCCTCTTCTTGCACCCACCTCCCAGCTCTCCCCGGAACTCACCTTTGGCGCTCAATCCGCACCCGTGGCTGCAGTGAGTCGGGACTGTCTTCGACCACCACGCGTTGTCGAGGCAGCGTCTTCAACCGCCGTAGCTGTCGCACCAAGCAGGTGGTGCATACGGCGCAGGTCAGCAGCCCCAGTAGCAGGCCGGTGACGCTGACAATCAGCCAATTTACCTGGCTGTACCGTGGAGGCTCTGTGGAGGGGGACGGGAGGGGACAGTCGGCGTCAGGCGCGTGTATAATCGCAGGTGGGAGCATGTCATAGTTGTGGTGGTGAGATGTGGTAACCGAAGGTTTGTTGTCAATAGTTAAAACACTATTCGTTAGAATTGTGTTTTTATATTGAAAAACAAATCCGAGTTCCCTGCCAATTTTGCAAGAACTGCCTGAGATCAGGCCAACTTATGAAGATATAAGTGAACGAGTTAGGAACAAGGAAGAATGGCTGTTGTGAGTACACCTGACTCAGTTACTGAATGAATGGGTGAATGAAGGAAAAATGTTGGTAAATATACGGTGATAAAAAACATATAGTGGTGACTCCAGAATCGCTGGTGTATGGACACACAGGCAGAGCAGTGTTCTAAAATTGGATTTTGGTTGGGTGTGACGATGATGACCAAAAAATCTAGGATGAAAAAAAAACAAGTGAAAACCTATATCACTTTCGCAATAAAGGCGTAACGCTACGCTGGCTGATAATAAAAGAACATACCATTCCTGACCACCAAAACTAACCGAAAAAGACGATGCAAATAGGTAAGGGTGATATACGGCAGAATTATAACTTAAGCATCTGATCGCCAAGTGTTTCGAAATCCGTCCCATTTTATCCCAACCTTTGTGTTTGATTGAGACTAATGAAGTTAAGAATCACCCTTGTCTCTTATACAGCTAAGAATGAATACCTACTTCAACCAGTGAGATTTCATTTTCCTCACAAGTCTAAATGCATTGTCACAATTGAATGACTGTCCAGTGGCCATCCTTCTCCTAGCCTTAAATCAATGCCTTCCTTTCCGTTTCAGATGCAGACAGCAGATATTACCGTCAGCATCTGCTAAGTTCCTACTCATGCTTACTGGCACGGATCCAGGGCCCAATCTTACCGATGCCGTGGATAGGCAAAATGCCGTGAATGGAGCCCATTCACGGCAACGGCATATTACCAATGACGTGGGATAGCTATTCACGCCATCTCATTCACGGCATGCGGTCGATGTTTATCCACGGCATTTTGGCAGTGCTTTAACATGGGCAGTGGCACAAGCTGCCGCGAGAGCGGCAGAACAAACGCAAATAATCAGCTGTTTGCGCTGTCGGTGGCCGTTCCATTCACGCCACCTTTTAGTGCCGTGAATGGCGGGTGTTGTGAAAGGGATAGGTCGCTGGGAGGATGTTACTATTGCAATATTTGACACTATTATTTTTTTTTTAAAGTAAAGAATTCTTCATATAATGCCCTTGACATCTTAGAGCGACGATTACACGCATGGTTATTATTTCAAAAACATGTATTTTCCAGGGATAAAATCACACTCAAATCCATAAAAATAAACATGTTTATTCATTATATGGTCTTATTTTTCAAATCCATACGAGTTCGTGGAGGCAATTTTAGCATGTGGGCCCAATCATACCAATGCCAAACCTATCTATATATGCTATAATATGGGTGTTTCAGTGTTCACCCCGTCCGGACGTCTCACAAACATCCTTCATGATTTCTAAGTAAATATTTAAAACAATTAAATACCGTAAACTTGTCAAACAAGTATCAGCACTCACAATGCATGTTTTACCACTTTCTGTCTGGCACAGACAGCTACGGAGCATGCTGTCTTCATGCGTCTCAATCTGACTTCTGAACTGAATGCCTTTTTCTTGATATGTTATGGTTTTGAGATGTAATTGTAGACGGGTTTCTTCAATATTTTGAGTAATTCCTTTTGTTATCGTGCTCGTAAAAAGCAGCAAACAAGGCTATAGCTTGAGCTGGCCGGGTGCATGTACCCAAAGTTTAAACTTTACGAGCTGAATTTCAATTGCATTATTCCAATGTCTTAGAAACAACAGCGGAGCTATCACTAGGTCGTTACTTCAATAATTTTATCTCAAAATTGTTGCAATATCTTAACAGCAAGTAAATAGAAACGATGAGCAGCGAAACGAAGTTAAAATGTAATCCACTCGATTTTCTCAGCGCGAGAATGTCCTCGCGGAAGTTTACTAGGCCAGTAATCCGCTTTTCAGGAGAATTCTTTAGGCAGGCTTTAGTTTTTTCATAGTTTGCTATCACGTTTTTCACAAATAACTTATCCTTCACACATATGTATGGCTCTAAAACAAATAAACGCCCGACAAAACTTTAAATAGAGAGCTATACTTGTTCACAAGCAATACGCACAATTTCCGATAGCGAAGGTGACAAGAATTGACCAATCACGTTGCGTGTTTTCTGCTGGCGCTGAATTGTACCGTGGGCAAAATGCCGTGAATAGAAATGCCGTGGCACGGCATTGGTGAGATTGGGTAAATGGAGCGCCGTGGATCAGCCGCCGTGGTAGGCATCCACGGCATCTGCATCCACGGCATTGGTAAGATTGGGTCCTGACGGTCCTTCTGCCTGTATATTTCTCCTAAAGAAAATCATCCGCGGACCTCCATCCTCGCGACGCCAGTCGCCATCATGCGAGCGAACTAGGTCTTTAACCCGCGCCCTGCTGGGGGGGTGTTTGAACACCCCCCCTTGTGGTTTTTCGCAAATATCTCAAAAACGGCGGCGCGGAGCGCCGCCGTTTTTGGTACACCTTATCATACATCAATTCTACACATGTTGTGAAAATTTCAGACCAAGGTCATTCAAGGTCAGGTCACCAGGTCACTTGAAGTGACCTCACCTCATAAAAAGTTTCAATGTCTGTCATAGCTACACCGAGTGACCGATCGCTTTGAAACTTTCAGCGATTGCTAAGAGCAATAGCATGTACAAAATGTATATCTCAGAATTTTGATATCGATGACCTAAGGTCAGGTCAATTTTGCGACCTCCCCATTATAAGTCAATGGGAGAAAATTGAAATGCGCCTCTTTTGGACGAAAGACATTATAAACACTCCCAAACACCGAATTACAAGTGGTTTAGACACACAGAACATGAAAATGGTGTCCGTGACCCTTGTTTATGCCCTGAGGTCATCTTAGGTCACGAATGGTATCTAACAGTTTTTCGCAAATAACTTTTGATAGAGGCATGCTAGAGCGATAAAAACGCCTTAGATGTGTTCAGCTCGACGATACGGATCGACTGATATGCAACATGACCCTTTCCGGTCAGGTCATGACCTTGACCTGAGGTCAAATTTTCAAGTTGACCTTTCAAGGTCAAGTTATAGTTCATTCGATGCGTCTTGACGAGAGGAACACGATGCCGGTAAAAGTAAGCTCGTACAAGGCTTGGGTCAAAAGTTATTGCAGAAAAACTGTTTTAGAAAAAATCGGCTATTTTTGCAGTTTTTGCCCCCTGCAGGCAAAACCGTTGACGTTAGGTCAAATCTGAGAGAATTACTCAGAAAGGGCGTTATTAGGGCTATCGAATGCGTTTTTTCCGCGGCGCTGTAGCTCTATTGGTTCCCGAGTTATGCGTTGGCTTCTTGGAAATTTTCGACATTCGACCTGGAAATCGGCGAAATTTTGCCTTCAATGACCTCTGGTGACCTGACCTTTGACCTGACCAAAAAATTGACCGAAGTGATTTCGTCATTATTTTTGACGCTCTTTCGAACGCCGCCTTCCGCGAATCGCTACGTGGCCCATGAGCCGAGTTACAAGGGGGGGGTGTTCAAACACCCCCCCCCCCCCCCCAGCAGGGCGTGGAAATCCAGGACCCCCAGCCGGGCGCGGGTTAAGAAGCAGAAGATGCAATGATTCTGTTGAAATCTGTTGTCATATCTTAAGGAGGGTGGGGGAGGGGCGGGTGAGGGAGCTCTCTCTATATGCAGGCTTTGGTACTAGTGCCATGTGGAGAAGTTTTCTTTCTTTTTTAAGCAAAGGAAGTGGGAAGGAACCTGTCTTTGCCGTTGCAAAGGGTATCATTCTGTCGTCCTGTATTATTGATTTAGTGCATTTGACTTATACTGTGTAATGCGTGAGGCGTGGTCATCACTGTGACACTGTCAGACATAAAATTTTAGGTAATCATGATACCCTGATGGGCAGTTTGTTGACGTAACTGATCGCTATGAAACCGGAAACCGTATAACTCATGTGTTCTGGCCTCTGGGACGTTTTGCGCCTACAATATGGCAGCACCGCTTCCAAGATAACTGTATATTTGAGATAATATGCGGCAATATAAGTATGTAGTTTTCGTTCGCATCTGATCTGGTAATATTCGGACAGTGTACGCAGTATAGCTTTGAGCTTTCCATTTTCAACAGATATGACAATGGCTGGATGATACTGGAAATGGTGCCTTTGCTCTGAGCACACGGAACGGGACGCAGTATTGAGTATGCAATTGCAGTCGCACTATGCAGCATGACATACGCCGGAAATCTCCCGGCCCGAACGCCGGAACGGCCAGCGATAGTCGGTACTCATTACGCATAGTGAAAATGGAAACGGTGTCAGCGCAACTCTTCGAAAGGAACGGTGCACTACATGAGACTAGACAAAGGGTTACTGATTAGGGCACCCCAAACGGAACGATGTGCACTGCGCAGCATAATACGCAATATCGCAATAAAAAGCGTGCAACTAACCAGTAACCAGGGCATCCATATCGGAACGGAACGGGATGCAAAAAAAGGATAAAAGGATGCCACCGACCTCATGGCCGGCCACCGAAACGGAGCGGTAGCTTTGTATCATGTCACGTGATAAGTGCTGAGTGAGAGCGTCAATGATCAGTGATCAGTGATCAGAGCACCCGCAACAGAACGGAGGGCATCAGTGATCACTGATCAGAGCAACTGCAACGGAACGGAGGATCGCTGATCAGGACACCCCAAGCGGAAGGGAAAGCGAGAGCACAACTGACCAGAACACCCGAAACGGAACGGGAGTGAACGGAACGCATTAGCGGCTCGCCGAATCGCGATTCCGGCCAAACATGGCCTCAAGAAATAGGTCACAGGTCAAAGGTCATTTGGGTCAGGAATATGAGATTTTCAGAGTAGGTGTCAAATTAATTGACTCGAGGGTCCTGAAAGTTTCGTCGCGATCGGCCGCTTTTTACGCGAGTTATTCTCGAAAAAACGAGGGGGCGGTTCGTTCGACCCCCCCCTATACGGGCGAGGGATAATTTATTAAAAAGCTAGGGCCTTCTTAATCCCATCTACCAGCTTCAGAACATGTATTGGGCATATCTGGGAATACCGTATCTTAAATTTATCCCTAGAGGTGTGCCAAGGTATCCTTTCATTCATCTTGGCTTTCCCTCGGTCGAACGCTTCGTGTTTAAAAACCTTTAGAAACTAATTGAAATGAATAATTGGCGGTAAGATTATTGCAAAGGCATGAGAAAATAACGTAAAATACATCATTACCGGTCTTATAACCTCATTTCGCGTATGAAACCTGCCAGAGTCCACAGAGTTTCAAATTCATCCCTAGGGTGTGCCAGGGTGGCGTGTCAGTCATCTTGAACCCCTGCCCGACCCGACGCCTCGAGTTTTAAAGACATCTAAAAACTAATAACGTAAATAATTTGGGGTGAAATTGATATAATATGATCAGAAAAGAACGCAGAATAAATTAGTATCGGTCTCAAAACATTATTTTGCCTATGAAACCAGCCAGAGCCCGCGGAGTTTTAAATTCATCCCTAGGGTGTGCCCAGGGTGGCTTTTCTCATCTTGGACCTCTACCAGGCGCGACGCCTCGAGCTTTAAAGTCCTCTAGAAGCCATTGACGGACATAATTTGTGGCGAAATTAATGCGATAGGATCAGAAATAAACGCAGAATATATTGGCATCGGTCTCAAAACATTATTTTACCTATGAAACCAGCCAGAGCCCGCGGAGTTTTAAATTCATCCCTAGGGTGTGCGCAGGGTGGCTTTTCTCATCTTGGACCTCTGCCAGGCCCGACGCATCGAGCTTTAAAGTCCTCTAGAAGCCATTGACGGACATAATTTGTGGTGAAATTGATACAATAGGATCAGAAATGAATGTAGAATAAGTTGGTACCTGTCTCATACCCCTATTTTATATATGAAAGAAGTTAGAGCAAATCAAGTTTTAAATTCATCCCTAGGGTGTGCCAGGGTGTGCCCAGCTGACTGCGGGTCCAAAGATGAAAATTTTGTAGGCGTATCCTGCGCAACTTAGTCAAAAGCGAAATGCAGAGGTAGTGTATAATTTGCGCAAGCAGCGGCTCATCCGCTTTGCGTTGGCAGCAAACCACTAATCATAGTTGTTATGAATATCCAAAAGCATTTATTCAGAACACAAGCCTGGTTTTTACAAACAGTTGAGGTGATCAAGGTCATTCAACGCATATTTGTTATTAACAGCTGGAAGTGTGCAAGGTTATTTTCTTTCGTTGTCAGTCAGGGTGAGTTGTTGGGTTTGTGCCTTGATTTCGATTTTTTTCATGGAAATTATGCATTATGTAGCAAACCTATAAGTTCTATTCTAACTGTCTATATGGCGCTGCTAGGTATATCTGGTAATCTGGCTGTTAATTGTTGAGCATGAGTTGAGCATTTTTCAAAGATGAAAGAATTCCAATTTACCTGGTTTTGGGGATGAAAATATTTTACCCATTAGGTGTGATTTTCCACCTAAAATTCCCAAAAATGGAACACTGAGGCAGAGGGAGCAGAGTGGCCAGCAAAATCCTAGCAGTGGCCGCAGAGCTGAAAATAGAGCTTCAGCTGGTCCTTCTACAGATCGGTACCATTGGCGAAGAGCACACCCCAGTGCCAAATAACGACATCACCGCGAGCCAAAGCAAAGCTCAGCGGTATCAAATACGGTCAATATCGCAACCGTAATGTTTTTAGGGCGGCTTGACCCCAACACTTCTTCGTGCAACGCATAATAGCATTTACAATGAGCGTACCACCTCAGAACCCGGCACCATGCTTCAGTCAATCACTAGCAAAGCATCACCTGCCGGTTCACTCATTCAGACACTACACTATCCCCTCCTTTCACAAGCCGCTGGACCCATCCATCCCCACCCCACCGATTCAGCTTCCCCATCCCCATCACTCACCTTCCTCCAGTACCTCCAGATGAGTCCAGGCCTTCAGCACGCGCCGCTCGCTGACGGCCACACACGTGTAGAACCCCGTATCGGTGACCTGGAGGTCAGTCAGCACCAGCTGTGAGTCGTCCGTCGGCACGGTCGCGGCGGTGATGGGGGTCGTCGGAGTCGCGACCAGTGGCAGGGTAGGGTCTTCTTCAGCCGGGCCGGGCCGCGCCGTAGAGGTCGGCGTGGAGTCAGTCGTGTTGGGCTGGAAGACAGGCCGGATGCGGCGTCAGACGGTATTCGACATCATGTAATAACGGTGAAATTGTCTCGGGAAATGACGAGCAGCTGTTGCGGTCATGACAAAAAGTAGCATAAGTAACACAAATAATAAAGTAATCCTACCGGCTCTCTGTATGTCTGTCTGTCTGTCTCTCCCTTCCCACCTCCCTCTCTCCATACCCTATCCGAAGTCAGGGCCATCTCTCTGGCCCTCTGCAGCTCAGGCACGGATGTGATCCGCGCCGGCTCGGTCTCGGAGTACAGCCAGAACACGGTCACTCTGTCCTCTCTGGAGCCTCCGGTAGCAGTCATCGGACAGCGCAGTGTCACAGACGCGCCCGGACCCGCAGAGGCGTTCAGAGGCTGCACCGATATGTGCGTCTCGGGAATCTCTGTTAAAACAGGCGGCTAATCAGTCGGATCATATTCCAACTATGTAAGTATGATCACACATATTTTGCCCCAATACCAGTGATATTGACGATCGATATCATGGATTATTTATTAATACTTGCGATTAGCCACAGTTAACCCTTACAATATTCGTGCGAAATATCAAAATACCTATTGCTGGAACGTTTCACATAGCACCGTAAAAAATGACAAAAGCAGCCTAATCAGTGTTACGGCAGGGTTCATTCACCAAAGCAGGGCCTAGCCCATCACCCAAGACATATAACCATGCAATCATATTCATCACGTTCACACACTATAGTCTACTACCATTTCCACTGTCCAGTGTCTCGAACATTCAACAGATAACCCTGGACCCAGAGCTGTGAGCACTGAGCAATAGCCTGTCGTACCCAGTAGCTCAGCACTGCCCTCTGCCCACCATTTCCAGTCCACACGCCACCTACCCGGCAGGATCTCGACGCGGGCGCGGCTGTAGTTGAACCCCAGGTTGTTGAGTTTTATACACGTGTAGAGGCCAGTGTCGTGGGCCGACGCGTTCCGGATTGTCAGCTGGTCTCGTACGCTGATGTCGTAGCGGCTCTGTGAGAGAGGGAGAGAGAGGGAGGCGGGATACATGTGATACGCGATAAACAAACATGTTATACAGCGTACAGCACAATGTAAAATATATGAGCGTTACAGAGTGTCTGTTCGCAGGTGCCAAATTTACCTAAAAATGCACTTTACAGCCCAGTCCAGACCACCACACAGTTCACATGAAACAATTATCTGGAGCGATGCTCCATTGGGTTCCTATAACTTACAACCAATCCCATGTCCGCATCAGCATTCCACTAATGAATTTTTTCAACCGTTCTAGCAAGTGCTCGGTCAACACCTTTCTAGCCACCTCTCTCACCGCTCTAACACGTCATCTGCGCAAAAAAACTGATGGTGAATTTTCGAACAACGTCTTGTGCGACCCACCCTGTATCACTCACATCATACGACCCACCCTGTATCACACTCACATCATACGACCCACCCTGTATCACACTCACATCATACTGTCTGACAGCGTTGTTATGTATCCTGCTGAGGTCGACCATATCCTTAATGTTGAAGTTCTTCTGGTGGAACACCCAGAACAGGTCCATGTCCCAGCCCCAGAGGCCGGGACAGCGCAGTGTCACCGGTCCCCCGGCCAGGGCGGAGACGTCACGCGGCCAGCCGGGGGTCACCGCCGGGAACACCTCGTCCACCTCGGCTGGCGGCGCACGGGGATGGGAGGTACTGAGTTATATATGCGTGTATGTTGGAGCCGGCAGATATGGAGACACGCGCAGGAGCCACTGCACATATAGGCTTCAGCAGAGTTGGATACACGAGCTACACACAATTTTCTTATGAGAGAACGACTACAATTGTATTGGTCATGCATAGGCGGTGTCAGGGCACCTATGTTGGGAGGTAAAACAATGAGAGCTATTAGATTTAGAGATGTCAATCGGATACCAACTTTTTGGTATACCGATACCAAACCGATACCAACTTGGTATTTGGTATTTCAGGTCTAATACATTCGGTATTTTGCTGGTATTATGAATCCTCGCTAATGTAAAAGAGGCTGTGAATTTGGTAAAAAGTTGATATTTCCCTCATATTCTCAAGTCGGTTTGGTTTCGGTATTTTCTCATGGCTAATCGATATCACGATTTTCCGCAATTGACATCACTAATTCGATTAGCGAGCCACCCGTGATAGCTATTGGGCAATCGTGTAAGTACGAGCTTGAGTGTAGAGGCGATTCATTGGACGCTATTGGTTGATACGGGTAAGTACAATAAAGAAGTACACAAACATAGGACGAATTGAACAAGGTGGAGCTGTTCCCTTGAGAAGGCCGTAAAGGAGGCATGACGGCTTATATATATCGAAATGAACCAGCTAGGTTTAGACGATGTTGGTTGAGCACAGTCCTCCAATTACCATATCATCTCACGGCTGAAAGCATCACGGACAATAGCATCACGAAACCGCCTGGCAAATCAAAACCTGCCCTCCCCGCCCCTCCCTCGGCTCCTAGAGCTCTCTCGATCAGCTGTTGCTCACCGGAGACGGTCAGCTTGGTCGTATGGTGGGCGGTGCCGAGCCCGTTCTCCGCCTCGCAGCTGAAGTTGCCCGCGAAGAAGGTGGTGACCCGTCTGATACGGATGCAGGTGCGTCCCACCCGCACCGAGCGAGTGTCGAAAGTGGACAGATCAGAGACCGGCCTCGAGTTGAACAGCCACTGGACGCGCGGCTGGGGGAACCCTGACGGCAGAGAACACAGAGAGGTCACCAAAGGTCACAGGGGGAGATGTCACAAGTTCGTGCTGACAAGGAAGACACGGGACTGCGGACAGGGAGGTCAACGGAGGTCACCATAGGTCAATTATCAGTGTTATCAGTCTCGTTAATTTTGGCAGGTTGGTGTGACAGTCACTACATATCACAACCACCAGACTAGAGCTGCTTATACTGACAGTCACTGAGCCACTACATACACGTGCTGTTTTGTACAATGCTCGGGGTTACATGAGCAGAGTTAATGCGCATTACAAACGGACTACAATGGTGAGCGAATAGGAAAATCCGTTCCTGATACGCATTTACTTGCTCATGTAACCCCGGTAAATGTCCAGACTACAGCTCCGTAACAATGCTCACCTTTCACTGGACATTGGATTGTCACTGTCGTCCCCAGTGGCGCCGAAACCTCCCTCTTCAGCGAGGCTGGGTCCTCAAAGTAGGGCGCTCGGGGTCGCTGGACCTTCTGAGCCGTGACGTGGCCGTCGACCGTCACAGAGCCCGCCTCTGGGCCAGCAGCCTCAGTGGTGCCCTCCGGCGTGTTGGCGCTCACCGGTGTCACTACGTCACTCTCTGACGTCACCACTTCGTTCTCTGACGTCACCACTTCGTTCTCTGACGTCACCACTTCACTCTCTGATGTCATCACTCCGCTCTCTGACGTCATCACTTCGTTCCATGGCGTCGTGACATCCGAAGTCCCGTTCGTGTGGTCAGCGTCGCACTCAAAGTCCGGATAGTCACCGTAGGTCTGGCCGCCGTAGTCTCCCTCTTCATAGTCCAACTCATCGGGGTAGTAGTCGTCCAAATAGCCATAGTCATCGTACATGTAGTCGTCGTCGTCGTACATGTAGTCATAGTCGTCGTCCCGGTGGTCTTGGGGCGGCTGAGTGACGAGCACTGTATAGTTGTACCAGCGCGGCGGTTTCGGCACCAGCACGAAACAGCTGTAGTTGCCGGCATCGTGAAACTGAGCTTTGCGAATGATCAGCCTGCCGGAGAAGGGAAAGAAAATGACAGCGAGATTTGAGAGATATTACTAGAGAGAGATGGGATGTAATCAGTGACTAGTGAGTCGAAACCTGTGGGTGCATACCTGTATCAGAGGATCATCGTGAAAGAGATCGATATCAAGGTCATGTTTGCACATTATCGTATGCTGTATGTGATGAGACAAAAGGGATCGGTTGAGATCTGAGATACAGCAAAGGAAGTTTCCAAAATAGCACACGAAAGAAGCCTAAACGGGCGCGTAAGAGGTGACACATAGCACTGTCAAGATAAACGTAAATTCAATATGCATGACAAGCAGCTAACGTAAATGACGGAACAATAGCGCGAAATGTGAGGTTCGAAACATAGAACCCGAAAATATCTGAAATAATGTCAAATAAGTGTACGGCACAGCATATTCTTTAGGGGCATCGTCACCTTCACCTAAAAGGAAGACAGTAGCGTGTGACGAGTTACTTTTTTTGTACGCAGCCAACTACCCACCCCTCCCCTTCCCTTCCCCGAGACCCCAGCCGCTCACTCACTTGTTGCCCTTCACAGAGATATCCGGGTCACTGACGAGCATGATGATCTCATCAGTGCGGGTGGGTTTCAGAGCGATGCGCCGGTCATTGTGGTACCAGCGAAAGTCGGCTTTCCACAGGTTATCGCGAGCTCGCGCTCCCTTTCCTCGAGGACAGGCCAGCTTCACCCGGTCGCCCTTCTCAACCAACTTCTGCTCTCGCGGTGCCGCATCTGAGGGGCACGGGTAGGAGTCACTACTGGTCAGTACTGTCAACAGGGATCGGATAAACACAAGGCGAGGTATCACATTTGGTCCATAGGGATCCGATAAACACGAATACGTATCACTAATGGTCAGCAGGGATAAGAGACACGAGGAGAATGACTGCTAATAGCATGGATCCAATAAGCACGGGTACGGGTAGGTATCGCTACTGGTCAACTGAACATTTGCATCACTACTGGTCAACAGCCAACAGGACAATGTCTCACGGGCAATCACGGGCAATGGGTAGGCATTTCTACGGGTCTGTTAGGATTCAGCACTCACGGGCAGCATCACAACTCATTAGAGATCCGAGTCGCGAAGGTCTACAAACATGTTGCAGTCAGTGAAACGGGACACATTGCGGAGGGTAGGATATCACCCCGGTCCATAGAGATTCGATAAACACGAATAGGTATCAACTATCAACGGTCTTGATATATCGACAGGACTGACTAGTTGCTTGTATGTAGTGAGGTTACGTCGTCTTTTCTCTAGAAAATTAAATGTTTTACGAAAGCTAAACTTCTGCAGCCATATACGGTTCAAGGCGGCTTATGTCGGGTGAGATGTTTTGGAAGGTGAATTTTGAGCTCGGGAACTTATGTTACATGTCACCCGGGAGTTTTTGTCACAGGCGACTCAGCTTCATCGCTGTGGTATCGTGATCCTGTGCTGTGGAACTTTCCGTCAGGATCTCCGTGTCGTCTGAGCGCGTCCAGGGCCTGCGTAACCTGGCGATGCCGTCGTGCCGAAGTCGAAGAAGGGGCTGCAGGCTGTGCTGGGTTCCCTGGGCTTCTACTGTAAGTTTGATCCAGGTTACAGTACCCGCGTCGAGTCTCGCAGACACCAGGTGAGGAAGGATGATGCTCCAGAGTTCGCCTGGACTCCAGAGATGGATACGGCGTTCACCAACGTCCGGCAGGCGATCCTAAGCTCTGACGCGCGCTCTATCGATGTTCGACCCCAGCCTGCAGATCGTGGTCACGACGGACGCCAGTGACGTCGGCTTGGGAGCCGTCTTGAGCCAGGTACATCCTGAAGGCGAGAGTCGTCGCCTTCGCTTCGTCCACGCTCAACGCTGCACAACGGAGGTACAGTGTCACAGAGCGTGAGGGGTTAGCGTGCGTCTGGACATGTGGAAAATGGCACAAATATATGTGGGGTCAAGAGTTCGTGCTACGTACCGACTACCGATCATGCTGCCTTGAAATCGCTGTTGACTGTCAGGGGTGTTGGTCGTGCCGGCATGAGGATGTCTCGCTGGGCCGTGCGTCTGATGAACTACTCGTTTGCAGTGGAACACGTCAAGGGCCAGCTGAACCCGTCTGACGGCCTCTCCAGACTGCCGGGACCGGAGCAAGAGGTCGAGGATGACGAGTCCGAGCTGGTGGCCTGCCTCGCCGACCAGACGTCAGCCGTCAGCCGTGAGGAGCTAGCAGTAGCGGCCGCGGGACGGGAAGACGCCAAGGTAAGGGCCCTGACGGACCAGATTCCTCGGGAGTGGCTCCGTCGCTTCAGTGATGTTGATGACGTCCTCAGGCCGTATTTCCGCTGAACGCAGGAGCTAGCTATCGACGGTGAGCTGATTTTGCGTGGTGAACGGATCGTGGTTCCCACTGTGCTCAGACCTCGGTTGCTGACGCTGGTGCATGAATCCCACCAGAGCATCGTCCGGACCAAACAGCGGCTTCGAGCGCTGTTCTGGTGGCCCGGGATGGACGCAGCGGTGGAGACGACCATCAAGGAGTGCCCAGCCTGCATTTTGGCCGACAAGACGGCCAAGACTAGGTTCGCACCACTCAGTCCTGTTCCCCTGCCAGCTGCAGCCTGGGATAAAGTGGGACTTGACTTCATCGGCCCGATGGCGGGACCATCAAATCAAAGGTATGCGATAGTCCTCGTAGACTACTACTCGAAATGGCCAGGGATGGCGTTTGTCCGTGAACCGTCAAGTGATGCCGTCATTGACTTTTTGCTGATTGTGACGTCACGTGAGGGATGGCTGAGGGAGGTGGTCACTGATAACGGTAGGGGAGAGTGGGGCAAAGCGGCCACCCTAACGCTTCTCACGATGCCAACGCTTGATTTTTAAACTTGGAAAGATTCTTTCTATACCAATCTGATCCCTATTAAGTTGCCTTTTATTTCAACTGCGTTTTACTTCCAAAGGCTTTCACATATGGAAGATATTGACAAAACTTTAAACCTATGCAGTATGCATATTGGCCACTTTGCCCCATACCCTGGGGCAAAGCGGCCACCGGCGTCTTCTCAAGTCCGATATGAGAAACAAAATAGTCGCCTCTTGTACGACTAGGGTATTTGATGGTGACAACTGACAAGGTTTAAACGAGCATGGATATTTGCTTTGTCAGCATCCCACCTGTAGGTAAGCAAAGAAAGGATTTTCATTATTTGGTAACTCATGCAGCTGAAAAGTGGCCAAGATGAATGCTTCACGACACATTTGAATATAAATGATGTTTTTTATTCAGATGGAAACAACATATGGCCAATTGGGGGTGGCCACTTTGCCCCGCGCATACCGTCCGAGACAAAAATATTCCAGCTTAGCTATTAGTGGGGAAAAAACATTAAAATTGATAAAATACATGTACGATAACCATGCAATGCATGACAAGAACGCTTATAAAAATTCCAAACGGTTATGGAATAACATAATATTTAAAACTGTAAACATAGTTGGTAACCTGGCAAGAAACGCTTTTCCGTGTTTCACAGAACAATGGTGATGGGCCTGAAACCCCGGTCTGGCTCATTCGAACGACCGTGAAGAGAAGTATAATTGGAAACCATAAATTGGAACTGACGCCAGCTATGAAGGACTAAAACGATGGGTGGCCGCTTTGCCCCACTCTCCCCTACTCACTTTACCTCTGGGAAATTTGAGCAGGTTCTCAAGAAGCATGGCATTTAGCATGATAAAGTGACACCGTATCACCCGGCAGGAAATGGTGCGGTAGAGAGACTAAGCCGAGACATCAAATCTGCTCTCCAGATGGCCGAACACGAGTCGGCGGATCGCCAACGGTACATGCAGGCATATCTCCGCACTTACGCGGTGCGACGCCGCACGGGACGACCGGCCGGAGCCCGTCCGAGCTGCTCCACGGCCGGCACTCAAGTGTCCTAAAATTTGTCGATTTGGGTGGGAACTGGGAAACAACATCCAAATGATGACAATTTTCCACTCTTATTTCAAACCTTTGAAACCGATTTTCCACTCCCAACCTCAAAAAACGAGGAGTATCTGCGTGCATGGTCGTAAACATCATATTGATACATCTAATAGAAGCTACATCCTACCACATGTGTGTGGTGATGCATGTTATCAAACCGTTTTCCCTTTATTCTTACCACTCCCACCTGTGTTTAGCTTTACCTGACCGGCAATTTTCCACTCTCATCTCCCTGGTAACTGAATAATTAACTCTGACACCCAAACCAAAATATAATTCTGGGACACTGGCCGGCAGATGCGGACGGACTTGGACAACGCAATCGCACCGGAGGGTGACAGCACAGGAGACGCCGCCTTGCGACAACGGGTCAGCCGAAAGCAGCGCCAGATGAAGCGACAGCGACAAAAGGAAGCGGGTCTGTGCACCGACCATCCAGGTCTGCGCCGTCTCCGGAGTGCACTGGAGAACCGGAGGCCGAGGTGGACCAGCCCTGTCAGCCAGTCACAGACTCTGATGCGTCGTCGACCGGCGGACTGCGACCGCGGCACACTGGGCCGGGGGTCCGGAAAAGTGCTAGAAATTATTTGTGATTGAGTTGTTGAGCTCAGTGACAAGCAAACATGCTAAAAACGAAGTGGGGCTGCTTAACCCTCGCCGGACCTATTGTCGGACCCCCCACCCCCTCGGCCGGCCGAGGGGGGAGGGTTGGTACGACCCCTTTTTGCCGTTTCGCCCCTAATGGAGCTAGAGCCTCGCGGAAAAAACAAGCGTGTGCGCCGTTTCAAGGCGGAACGATTGATACCCGATTTTAAGGTCCCAGGTCAACCGGTAACCTCTGAGGTGAAGTCAAAAAGCCCAAGGTAGGGTTCGGTTTTTGGCAAATAATTTCGCAAAAAATCACCGCAGAGCAGCGATTTTGGCACCATCGTGTTCGCCTAGCTCAGGCGCGTCGAATGGTATACTTTTTGTTCGGGTGAGGTCAACTTAAGGTATTGACCTCGGGTCAAGGTCAGTTCAGAGCCCATCAGGCCACGAACTTAATCGAAGGAGGTCGTATCGCATATCATTCGATTCAGGAGGTCTTCCCGAGTCCATTGGTGGCTTTCCCGAGTCGCTGGCTCAATTTGATCATGAGTTATTGGCGAGAAACTCCTATGACCGGTGTGACGTCATAAATGACGTCACGGAAGGTCAAAAATGCAAAAGTAAAGCATCGGATCTTGCAAGGAGTGCACGAAATCACGATTCCGTGTGCTTGGGATAGTTTAAAATCATTCCATGCGCGAAAACAACAGTTTCCTTATTTCCCCATTCACTCACTTTTAATGGTGAGGTCACGTGACCTCGAAGAGTAGCAGGCATTAGCAAAAATTGCGAGTAGGGCATGACAGAAAGATGATTGGTGGTTTGTATGGCATGGCCATTTTTAACCCTAGCGGGCCCGGGGGAGGGGGCGTTTTTCGCCCCCCCCCCCTGGCGAATATTTGCGATAGCTCCCGAACGCTTAGGGAAAGGAAAGCGAAACTTTCAGTACCTTTTCTCCCATCAATTTGACATCTTCTGAAGTAAAAAATTTGGACCTATCCCCCTTGATGACGTCACAAGGTCCATTTTGCTAGACCCCTGCACGGCAAACTTCGGCGTCACAGACGCAAACTTCAAATAGCTGCTAAAAATAGAGTTTTAGAGATAACGACAAATTACGAGCACGGTTGTGTAGCGTTTGACCTAGAGAAAAATAGAAAAATAGTTTTGGTGAC